CAGGTAAACGTTAAGAAGGGCAGAGATGACAAGAGCTATTTGTTTTCATTATTTATCAGTAATTTTCTGTCTTGCTGCTTGTCAAATGGCTCCACATAACTATAATATCCTGTAAAACAAAGATGTTTCCTGAGTTTTAAAGGAATTCAGAAAAGGGAGATGAGACAGTTATTAGGAAGAATTTGGTATAAGAAAGGGAAATTTAATAAGCATATTTTTTTCTTACCCTGGATCTTTTTACTGCAGGCAGTCAGGATTGGGTAGGAACAATAATTCATTGCAACAAGAGCCAAAAACACACGCAGAGCATTCGGAAAAGTCAGATGGTCTATTTCTTTCAAAACTGCCATCTAAAGTGAATCAGAGTTTATTAAATCCTTCATTCTTCTGGTATATTATCACTGCTTTCTGGTGAAAACATTTTCACCAAAACTTTCCCAAATTCCTTAGTTCAGGCTTATATGAAAGAAAAAAAGCAAAAAATAGCAAAAGCATAAAGTAACTACTCTCAGTTTCTTAATATACAATTTTAACAGGTCAAATGCTCTAGAGATGTGTCACTATGCCAGTTCCCAGCAATTTGCCTTTATACGCTTATTTTAAAAGAAAGAAGTCTCAGCAAAAGTCATTTCCAAATACTGTGAATATGTATCTTCTGCAAACTCTTAAAAAAGTAGCAGAAATAAAAATGCCACAGTTGACTGATCTGCAGGCCCACGAAAGCTGTAAGCCTCCAAAGTGACCTATACTACACCGAGCGGCCTATCTTTAATACAAACACCCAGCTGCAAATGTGGACTGAGGCAGAGGTGGTCAGCTCTGCTGCCACAAGAGAGATTTCATTTATTGAAGCAGTAATTAGATTGATATAAATGACAGTAAAAATGAGATTACAAAATATAGTGGCTATTACAATACAGTATTCTTACTGCGTGCATATAAAAGGTTAAATACAAAATGCATCTACAATAGAAATTACACTGTAAAAAACAGCACCCCATGGGCTCAGAAAATTAAGAGCTCTCTTTAGCTAACAAGTGCAAATATTACTTTCCTTTCAGTTTTATGATATTTCATGAATGCCATTACTAACTCTGACCTCAGACCTCTTCAGTTATGTGATAAACACACAGCAGGCCTTGTTTGAAAAGTGGTTTCAAAAAGGGTTTTTAAATCAGGGGACAAATGCCAGAATGCCCTGCCATAAAACCTAAAGCCTGTTCCCAACCTAACTCCCATCAGTCCTCCATCCCCTTACAGCCCCACCACGGACCACTTTTCTGTCACCTCGTCTTCCAGTCACAAGCTGGGCAAGGGAATCAGGGCAAAGCCTTTAAGCACATCTCTGAAACACCATGTGGCCAAACCAAAGAGCCAAGGGCACTGCTATTTTACAGCCTCAACTCCTTTTGTTCTCAACCTCCAAATTTAAGTTCTTCCTGCAGATATATCTGGACTTTGATTCCTACTGCAAATACAGTTACCTTTCTATTATATTTTCTCTTTCAGAAAGAACCATACACAATTTATAAACAATGCAAGAGCACAGAGCTTTGTGGAAGTGAAAATGAGCCTCCAACTAAACTTACCTCTAATTTCTTTTTCAGAAAAACTGGAGCATCTTTTCCCATGCATTTCATCAGGTTTTGCAGAATAAAGATGTCTTGGATACTCGAAATGCGCTGCTCCACTAGTAACCTGATGAAGAAACACACACAAGAACTTTCCTCATTTCAGCAGAAACAGTAGGTACCGCCATTCTTCCTCACTGATGTATTCCTAAGTTAAAGCTTAATTCTCTGCTCCTCTCCCACTTCCTTTTTTTTTTTTGCAATACTGGCATAACTCTACATGATGTAGCTGCAGCACAGATATTTTACACATGGAAATAATTATATATGCTTTCTAAAAATTATCCTGATAGATGAATGTTGTTGCTGATACATTAACAGCAGGGGCACTGACCAGACTGCATGTGTGACTGTGTAGATGTGAGTCCCGCTGAGTATCAAGGAATTAACACCCTTCAGCAGAAAAAAAAAACCAAGCGTTTCTTTATCTCAGAATCATCTAAGTGCAGGCAAGTTCTGAATCGGCCAGGAAACTCAGGAACAGACACTGACAACAATTTGTTTTAAGTGAGGAAAGAAAACAAACAAGCAGTGCTCTGGGCTGCAAGAACAGAAGGGGATATTGCAACACAGAGGGATCTGTTCAAGAGATGAAGGAATTCTGCATTCCTAGCACCTACTTTTCTGTCTCACAGGGTGGTAATTGTTCAGTCCAAACAACCCTTAAATATACCTGCACACCTACAAAATTATGAAGTGTCACTTTGTAAGGCAGTGCACTGGTCTGAAATTCACCCCTGCAAACAGGCAAAGAGCTCCAAACAAGACAGAGAGAGAGATGTAGATGGGTCTCCTGCTTTGCCCCAGCTTTTAAGGCACATCCACCTTCTCAAAGCAGAACCTCACACAGGATCAAAAGTACTAATCCATAGCAAGTTTTGTGATAGCCTCAGTAAGAACAATCTTATGGCAGTGAGCAGCTTGGTTAGTCACGTAAATCGCACTGGCCCAGAGAAAATTCACTACAGCCAAACAAGTTATACTGATAAAGCACTACACAGAGGGACCTGCTGGAAGTAACCAGCCTCCATCTTAATTTTTACTTACTAAATTAAAAGAAGATATTCTCAGGCTGCTAAATAGCATTTTTAATCATGAAAAATCAAAATACTTCACAAAGTAAGCTAGTCTCATTATCTCCCATCTACACACAGATAAAGGAGGGATAGATATGTGAAGGGACTTGATTAACATCACGAAAAACCCACATTGGTGGAGCTGCAGCCAGAACACAATCCCCTGTGGACCAGACTAGTACCCTATACCACTGGAAGCCCTCCTGCTTAAAACTGCAAAGACTACACCAAAAATCACTGTGCAGCACAGCTCTTATCTCATGTGATTGTTTAAATCCTAAAAGCACAGTATGTATTCTATGCGCAGACATTCCCTTGATGACTTCTAACAGACATGTATTCAAACAACATTGAAATAGGAAGAACATGTGAAAGATGTGTTTTTCTCACTGTAATCCAGCTTGAAGAGCGCTCACATTCTTGTCTTTATCCATCCCTGATAAAGTAGTTGCCAAAACGGAGACACATCGGTTATCAAGTTGATTGAGCTTCTCCTGTTAAAGTTTTCACAATGTCAGATTACTTCAAACCAATGAAAGTTTCAGAAAAGTAAAACTGACCACCCTCAATCTGTACCTGCCATTTTTTCTTTCCCCTCAAAAGTCAATTCACAAGCTTTAATTCTGCAGTGACCCCCACAAGGAGTCACATCAAATTTATTTGATTTGAAAAGGGTAATGATTTTTGAGACTGTTAAATCTGAAATCAGGCAGTGGTTTCAAAAATGAAGGAGATTAGAAGTACACACAAATGAACTATGGGAACCCTGTTTCCATGGCACATCAGACTAAGCCAGGGATGTAACCCAATTCTCTCTGATGCTGCCTCCCAGAATTGCCCACGAGATTTTCAGCCCAGATTTAGGAGAAGGATCTTCACACTTACTTGGCAGACTCTCAGCAAAGTCTGGACCAGGAGCGTGTTCTGGGGCACCCCAAGGTTCACAATGGCGTGCAGGCTGAACACCAGGTCCCCTCGCGTCATCCTGCGGGAGTCCCGCAGCAGCTGCTGGCACACCTTGGCGAAGGCCGGGTGCTCAAAGATCAGCTGCTTCTCGTAGCGCTGCTGCTCCTCTGACATGTGTTTGAAGAGCCTCCACGCTGTGGTTAAACAGTTCGTGTAGTGCTTGATGGAGACAGCAGACTCGGAAGCCAAGTCCAGCGCATCGCAAGGACAGGTGCATTTCCGAAGACTGTTAAAGAATGGGTCGTTCTGATCCACTACATGCTTTGCTTTGACGCTCTCAGAATCATCCAACTTTTCAGCTTCCAAGGAGCTCTGGGAAGCCTGGTCACCCACCAAAGCCTCTGCACCTGTGCTAAACACATCCGTCTTTTGAGAGAGAAATCGAAGTGATGATCCATGAAGAGAAGGAAAAATATTTAAAAATAACTCCCTGAAGTTTACATTTCCCAAGGGATCTCTGTATCTGCTAATCCATAAAATGTGTTTTCTTGTTGTGCCTGAAGATTTGGGAGTCAGCACAGAACTGTACCTATGCAGGTATCTAACAGTATTTAACAAATAACTTATTCTCTTATTCATTTCTGCTAAGTCCTCATGAATGGACTTGAAATACCAACTCAAAGTAAGGGATCCGATGAAACTCTACCAGTGGAAACAGTACTGGAGAAACTGCATAAGATCACTCATCTGTAAAAACAATTGAAAATTACGGGTTAGTTACCAGACTTTGAACTTCTACAGTTTCAATTGCCGATTCTATGCACTTTTACAATAAGGGAGAAGATCTGGGAAAAGATCCCTAGAAAATGAGCAGCTTTTATTCTGTCTCCTACATTTCAGCCAAACACCTCTGCACAAAACAAACTCAGTTCTGGCTGGTCCGACCTCCCTGCCGCCACCCGCCGGGAAGCCGCCTGCTCGGCTCCCCGCGGGATCACTCCCGGGCCAGGGTCGCCAGGCGGGAGAAGCCGCTGGGTTTCGGGATCGCTTCCCGCAGGCGCCGAGAGCGCTGCCCAGCAGGGCGGGCCGGCACAAGGGGACAGAGGTCTTTGGGCGGCTCCGCACCGGCTCGGAGCTCCTGGACGCAGTGGTGGGGATCCCGCCGGGCCAGCCGTACCGGGCCCGCCCGCACCAGCCGAGCTGTGCCGGGGCCGGAGTGCCGGTCCCGGCCGGCGCAGATCCCGTTACCTGCACGCGGCACCGCCGGGGCGCCGCCATGACACCCCCGCTCCCCGCGCGCTCCCGGCGCGCCTCGCGGGACGGACGGCGCGCAGCGAGGGACAAACTGCCTCGGCGCGCGGCGCGTTGCTGCGCAACGCCGGAGCGGCCGTTGTGGGGCGGCGCGCGCATGGCCAAGTTCGTGGTGGCGGGTGAGGGGCCGGCCGGGACCCGCGAGCGGCCCCGCCTCGCACCGGCACCCAGCACCCCGCACCCCGCACCCCGCACCCGTACCGCACCCGGACCGGCCCCGCCGCGCACCGGCACCCCGCAACCCGCACCCCGCACCCCGAACACCGCACCCCGCACCCCGGGGCGGCCCCGGCGGCACCAGCATCGCCTTATGTGCCGGGACCCAGGCGGGGCAGCCTCGCTGCGCTTGCAGCGGGTTCATTGCGGGCTCCCCACTGTCCCCCCTTCAGGCTTTCCGGGAGCTGTGCCCGCACGGCGTCAGCCGTACCCGAGTCAGAGTTCTCCCCTTATCCTGTCAGTGAGGCTTCATCCTCTGCTGCTGTCCCCCCAGGGATGGCTTCCTTGGACCCTTGAACTCTGTTTGAAGAGACTGTTTGACCTCCAGAGCTGCCTTGCTTTTGCTGGCTCACATTAAACAATGGTCTTTTAAGTCCTCATCAGTCAGTGTCACAAAATCATCCATTTATGCTCCTTTTCTTGTGTTCACAGGTAGGGCAAACTGCCCTTACTATGCCAAAGCTGAACACCTGGCTGACTATCTCCAGGCTGCCTTGCCCAACTTCAGGGTTCACAAGATCACTCAGCACCCTGACAAGTGGGAGGTAAGGGATTGTAAGCCAAGTCACTAGCAGGTGCTCCAGTGCTCTACAAACCAACAAATGTGTTTATATGTAGTATGTTTATTCTCTTGTATTAGTGGTTTGATATGTGGGTAGAGGTGCTGCAGAAGCAGCGTTGGCTGTGAGAGCCAGCCGGAGGAAAGGTTTGAATGTTTTGAGCAACTGGCATCACTGTGAGTCTTACCACAGAAGATGGGCACAAAGTGTGGGCCAGCCTAAAGGTGTATTTTGTCAATAAAAAGTTCAAGGAGGTTTTGTTTGTTTGGTCAGTCTTTTTGTGTTATGTATACGTGGCATCTCAGCCTGTAAATCCTTTGCTCACTGTGATTGCATATGCCTTCAGAGTTGTTACTTGTCAAGAGCATTTTTGGCAGTCAAGGGCTTTGAATTGCAATGGAAGTATGAAGTTAAATATCACATAATTGTTTACAATGTGGCTGTGCCTTTCTGAATATTTATGTTGTAGACATGTTGCCATGTCTACCCTGTAGTTCCTGTAAGGATCTGAAAAAAATGCAATCTGACTTCATGAGATAGACAGTACCATGATGTTTATTACCTCTTATATTTTGCTTGACACTTCAGCCTAGTAAGTCAAACAGTTAAGTGAAAAGCAATTAACCTCTTCACCTTACCTTCTGCAGCTAAGTAATCCTCATGTTACTCACTGCTTCACAACATTGCTATCTTCAGTATACTAAGACAATTAAGCAAAATCACAGCAGTAAAATCAAGCAGAATTAAGACCTTTAGGTGAGGTGTCACTGTGTATCACCCTGCCTTGCTTTGTGCTGGTTCCCCATTTTGCACATTCTGGTACATAAGTTGTGAAGCACCTTGTAATTATGTACAGAGAGGAAATAGTAAGAATATTTAGAGTTGTAAGACTTAAGTGTTATTTAAGTGTTAAAACCTTTTGGTGGGGATACTTACATTAGCAGTGGCTTCGAGACATTTGTGAAACGAATGGATGGGAACACAGACAGTCTCCTATCATTTGGAGAGAACTGTTGGACCGTGGAGGGAAAGGTCAGCTTCTGGGAGGACTTAATGACTTTCTGGAATATGCTCAGGTAATGAGCTGCCTTTAATACTGTAAAACAATGTTTTATAACAGTGTTGTTCTTTATTCCTCCTTCAAATGTAAAATAAAGCTATTGTTTGTAATGTTACCTCACTGGGTGTGGGCTGCCATTTGATTGGAGATGGTCCTCTTTGTTCTTAGCAATATTATGGCATCACTTCAATGATGTTGAGTGAGGAAATGTTAGACATTGCTGAGGAGAACCTGCAGACTCATCTTGAAATTGTAAAAGAGGATGAAGAGATTAAAAGTCTTATCAAGCCTATGCAGATCTGGATCACCAGGTGAGAGTAAAGGCAGTATGAAGTTTCACTCAGCTTCAAAAAATGCATTTTCTCCTATCACATATAGCTGCTGTAACCATCTGAAGTTATGCACAAATCCCTGTAATGTGATGATTTGAATTAGGTTCCACACCCCTCACTATGACAAACAAAGTACTTTTCTTAGATTTTGCACCATTTAAGTGAGAGGTGTGAAAAGGCAACATTTAGACTCCAGACTGGTTTAGGGAAAAGCAAGTATTTACTATATAAGCTGAAAATTTTGTAGTGTAACTATCTTGCACTAAATGTTGTTGGAAATATTTAAGAAGATAAAGTCTCTTGCAGTTCTACCTTTAGAAATTTCTGTATTTTAGCTGTCCTAACAGAACACCTTAAAAAATTGTCATTCTATAAAGACACCCATTTTTAAATGACAGCATCAACTGAAACACGTAGGACGGAAAAACCTTCAAATGAAAAGGACCCAAATATTTTGATTCTTAACCTGTTAAAATGGCAGAAAGAGCAGTAAAGGATTCAAGCTAATGGTCTATTTAAACGTGATCAAATACAAAATAAACACCTTCCAAACAAACAGTGGTTCATTTTCTACAGTGGTTAACTTTTTCTCTTATCAGTGCATCAGCTCCAATCTGTTATCAACTGATCCCTCTGTTGGCAAATGGAGAAGTGTTTGGGATGACCACAGAAATCAGTATCCATTTGCTTGACACTGGCCAGTTTAAGGAAGTTCTTTGCGGTATTGTGATGGAAGCCGAAGACATGGCATTCCCACTTCTCCGCAGTATTTTGGAGCACACTGAAATAGATGAGGCTTTTATTGAAGCTGATGTTATTATTGTTCTTGATGATGTCCTCTTAAACCTTGAAGTCCAGTCCCTTGAGAACTACATCAGAGAAGTGAGTGAGATCTGTCAAGTGTATGCTCCCTTGATTGAGAAGAATGCCAAGAGTGAGGTCAGAGTAATTTCATCAGGAAAAACCTTTGCAAACCTTAAGGCGATGCTGATTATGACATACGGCCCTTCCATTAAGCCTGAAAATATCATTGCCGTTGCAACATCCTGGGAAAGTGCAGCTAAAGCCATGCTGGCCAGGAAGCTGAATATGAGCACAGCAGGTGAATATTTATGTAGCATTTGGGGAAATCGGTGCACTTTTGGGAGTACATATTTCACTGCAGAACACAGTTGATATGCATGCGGAAATGCAAGCACAGCAGTGCACCCACTGAATTGCTTGGGTGCAGAGATTGCCAGGGTGTCTTTTGCTGGCTGTGGGATGCAGCCCTGCCATTCTGGTGTGTGTTTCATGCTGGATATCTACTAAGAAGGTCTGAGTTGTGTTGCAGAGCTAGGACGTCAAGGTTGCATTTGCACTCTGTAGTGCATTGTTATTTTGGAGACACACAAACTAGCTGTGATTAAACATGGCAGCATACTGCTGTGCAGATAATGAGAGTAAAGTAGAATTGTGTTGTAGTATTATTTTGGGGTTAATTAGCTTTCTATGTCGGGTCAGTTGCTGTAGCTTGGTTATATTTGCACAATTCTGCACTGCATAGCAAAGGTGTGCTCTGACAACCTGCTCACCATCAGGATTCTTTCAGCGTTGTAGGGGTAGAACTATTCATTAATGACAAGTCTAGATATTTTAGAGCCTAATAAAACAGAAAAGTAAGTTAATAGGCTGAAGGGCCTATCAGCAGGTTATTTGAGAAAATTCTTTTGCACCAAAAAAGGTAGGTGTTTTTTTAATGACTTTTTTATTGTTTCTGTATTCTTTTTTACAGGATTTTAAAATTAACATTGCTGTATGTTTGCAATATGATTTGGTTTGGTTTTTAAACACTAAATATTTACCTTGGTTTGTCTGTTATTTAAAATAACATGATATAAATTAAGGTTCCTTTTTCAACTTGCGATGATGTTTCATATATTATGGAGAACTTGGTTGCAGTTTTCAGATCAAATCATTTCTGCTAGCAAGGCAGGGTACTGAACTGAAGAATCATAATCTTGAAGGAGATTTCTGAAGGTCATCTAGTCCAGCCTACACAGTGAAAGTACTTGTCCCTTCATTAGTGTATATTTTCCTCTGTTACAGGAGTTAAAGACGTGATTGTTTGGGGCAGTACTACTGGCTCTAACTACATTGATTTGTCACATGCAAAACTTTATGGATATGACTGTGCTATTTGGGGCCCAGCTAATTTTCAACGTCCTTTGTTGAATATGATTTATGACAGGTACAGCACAGATTTATTTCTGTAAAGTAAAACTAAATAACTAAGTGAATCCATACTTATCTGAACTGGGTGATAAAACAGCAAGAAAGGTTCTCGTTTCCAAGATTTGTCTTTACTGATCAACACTGTTTTAAAGGGAAATGCAAGTTCAGGTATTCCATTCGTGAAAGAAGTTGAGTAGTTCCTAGCACTGTACACAGTTCTGGCTCTCCTGCCAACTTTGTTTATAACTGTATTTTCCTACATTTTAAGTGGGTTTCTCTTCTATCATATCATGGGCAGTTCATAAGAAGTAATGAAAGTCCAGACTAGATATCTAGTACGTGCGAAGAAACTTTGAAATAGAACTAAACAGATATCTGTGCCTGAATTACATGAAACATATGGCCTGAGTACACTAGTGTTGTCAGTTTCCCAAAATAGACAATTTGTTAACATATGTGAAAAGGATACCTGGCAGCCAGATAGCTTTTTGTGGAAAAAACAATAGTAGAGAATGGATGGGTACAGTCAGAGGGCAGCAGGTGTGAGATGCACCATGGCCCAGCTATATGGAGCTCTCACTCTGGTCTAAACATTTACTGAAGAGCAGACATTTCTTTTGTTCTGTGCTTGTACTGAGCTTAACATAGAGGGATTATGGTTCATGGCTGGATTCTTACATAAATCAGTAATACATATAAATTACAGTAATAACAGGTTATGCCTTGAGTAAATAACCTAACTTTCATAGTAAAGTGGTGTTTATCATTACCTTTTGGGCTACTTTTTGTTAGACCTTTTTTTTTACTGACTGTAAATGTCTTGCCTCCAGCAGTGAAGCTGGAGTAAGTTTTGACTGTTTTCTTTCCTCAGGTTTAATTATTTTTTTGTCTATGAAACTACTCTCCCATCTTAGATTTTTAATCTCTTTTTTCACCCTTTTTTTGTTGGTAGGGAATGGATCCATTCAGAATTTCTATCTGCGCAGGGTTCACTGCATTCCCGAGTCGGTCGTTGCACAGGGATGTTACCTGCTCACGCAGTGGCCACTGTACTGCAGTACTGGTATCACGGCTCTCCTCCTGGGGAGATTGTTTCTGTGGGAGTACTTAGTGAAGGTAAATCTACTTTTGCTTCTCATGTTCTCTTGTAGCTTTGCACTATGTATAATAGCTTTCCCCTATCTCTAACATTATTTTTTAATCAGTACTTTTAATTTAACAAAAACTTGTAAAACAAGTCATGTGAGGCTGAGAGTTTGTTTCATCGTAAGAACTTCCAAATCTAAGTAATTTTGCTTTCCAGGACTTGTGATTTGATGCTCACTTTCTAGAAGCATCTCTTAGGTTAGTATTGTCTTTTTGTAGATTTTTTCTTAATCTTTTATCTTTTATGCTTTTCTGATGTATGTGTTTTGCCCAAGAACTCTTAATAGATCTTAGTGCCTAAGACAGAAAAGTGTGTTCTTTTTGCCTAGTTATGTGGAACAAAAAATGTAATATTTCACAACAGCCATTTAACCCTCATATGAAATAAAACATTTTTCCCCCTTTTAAGATGTACAATTGTACATCTTAAATTTGCACAGTTGTACAAGGGGTAATGGTTTTAAACTGAAGGAGGGTCGATTTAGATTAGCTATAGAGAAGTTTATTACGAGGAGGGTAGTGAGACACTGAAACAGGCTGCCCAGAGAGGTGGGAGATGCCCCAACCCTGGAAACGTTTCAGGTCAAGTTGGACAGGGCTCAACCGCCTGGTATATTTGAAGATGTCCCTGCCCATGGCAGGAGGGTTGGACTAGAGACCTTTAAAGGTCCCTTGCAACCCAAACTAGTCTGTGTTCTATGATTCATGTGTGTCTAACTAAAGTAGAAGGTTACTGTAAAAGGAGAACTCTTTTTTGAACCATAGGCTGAAAAATGCAGTCTCCATTTATACTAAGATCTTTCAGTTGCAGACTTTTGCAAGTCTGTAAAATTTAATGTTGACAGTGGTGAGGGTGTGTTTTGCAATAAGAAGTAACATGTTGGGTCATTTTTTCCCTGTTCTTCAGGTCAGTTTTGCGTTCCCGAAGGAATTATCTTCTCTATGCCAGTGAGGTTCCAGAATGGTAACTGGGAAGTCATAAAAGAATTAGAAATTGATGGAACGACCCAAGAAGTTCTGGGACGCTTAGCCCATGAGCTAATTCAGGTGAGGATTTCTTGTGTCTCCCGTGTGCCCATTCTGCCACCTATGGGCACGTTGTGATCCAGCCTTGAGCACTGAGACCTTTACTCTCAACGTTAGTTGTACGCATGCCCACATGCACTTGGGCACCATAAAGATGAAGTATTTATAAGTGTAAGGTAGTATTGAAATTAAAAATTCTGCTGCCCAGAAAGGAGATGGTAAAATAAGTGTACCTATGTATGTGGAGAAGTTACGCTCCAAAGTTCTGCAGTCTTTGTGCAAAACAGGAACATTACCTTTAATTTAATGTTCCTGCATTCTATACCACTGATGTTGATTTTGCTTATGTGTATTCAGAGTATTTCTGTGCTAGAAGACACATCATTTGGCATTTTTATGGCTGTAACTCTGCACAAATGAAGGCCAGATACTACTAGAATTAGGGATTTTTCAGAAAATACAAAATCAATGAGCACTAATTTCATCATGAACTTTTTGTCACTTAGTAAAGCAAAATCAATTTATTTTTAGTATTGAAATACTAAAAAGACTGGTTTGAAACTCTACATTCTAGCTTCAGTCAGTTTTGGGATCTTCAGTCATAATAATAATGCATAAGGATTGTTTTGTTTTAACATATTTTAAGTTTGTGCTAGAAATTAGAGCAGATTAAAAGAATGAGTGATATTAAAACTGCCTTTTTTTTTCCCATTTAGGAAAAACTCGTTGCACTGAAGGAAATAAAAGAAATACTTCCATATGGAGAAGGCTAAAAACCCCACATCTTTTCCCAAGCTTTTCGTACCTACTTTGATTTTCAAGTTCTCTGTCCTCATTCATCAAAATAAGAGCAGATGAATTTAAAAGCATATTTTTGTCCTGTTTTTTCACCTTTTCCTTATTCTCAGGTTCTGAAATCTCTGCCATTTTTCAATGTTCTAGCCATTGCTTTCTGCTTTTCAGTCCTACAGGCCTTTTTTCTAGTTAGTTTTCTTTCTCTCTTCCTTCAAATTCTTTCCAGTACTTTTTTATCAGCCCTTACCATACTATGAGCTGTTCTTCTCCACTAAGGGCAGGCTGAAGAATGGGGAAATTATTTGGAGCTTGATGCCCAGAGCCTGTAGTGAGCACATAAGCCTTTTGGTTATCCATGCTTTTTTCTTGAGAAAGAACTACAGACACAATAAGATATTCTTGATAATACAGAGTTTAATTATTTGGCTAATCATGACCTTGTTTAACGCAGACAGGAGATTCCCAATTAGATGAGTGTCCTTCCTTGTCTGCTCCCTATGTGTATGGCACTGCTCTTCTGTAGAGTTGCCCTATTTCTCTTGTGGCTGTGTTAAACACTAAGCAGAGGCCTTCCCACTGCTAGCAGCTATCTGCTTAGTTGTGGCCTTCTCTTGTGACATCAGTATCGGGTGTTCAAATATTCCCAAAGTGCCCTGCTGATCTCTGGATGTGTAGGCATTTTAGAAGGCTGGCAAAAAATATGTGATGTTTTTGCTTTTATTTACAGAAATGGAAACCTTGCCTACTGGGTCACTTTAGCCAGAGTTGTCAGGAGGACAAATCTGGTCACTTTACTACTGGGGCACTTGAGTCAAAGTTGTCTGGAGGAAAAATGCTGGAAATTCCCATACAAAAATAAGACTTTCATTGCTCCAAAGAGCAAACTACAAAAAACGTTTAAACATTGTCATTGCTGTATCTTCCTCATTTAAAAACCAGGAAATCTCTAGGCAGAAAAGTATTTCAGAACAAGAATGAATGAAACATTCTTAATCTGAAGACCAAAATAAAATTCCGACTGATTCTAATGAGTCTAGGATTTCGTTTGCATCCAACAACTTATTTCTTCAGATCAATAAACTGTTGCAAAAACATAGTTTATTGTCTAAAACGTTCATATTATAAAAATATTGAGCAGGACCGTCACACCTAGAGCAGTGGTTTTCTAACTCCAAATACTTATTTTGAATGTATTGAAACACAGGACTTGTGTAATAACATACATTCTTAGGCAAAATTGATTTTTAACATGAAAATATAAGCCCATCTCCTTAGAGACAAGATAATTTTTGTCTCCAGGGTTTTTTTTTATTTATCTCATGAGTTTCAAGGGAATATTCATATGTTTTAAGTCAAACATGCAATTAATTAAGTCCTTGTCTAAACAGAACTATTGAGGAACCACTTTCACTTGTATGTCTTTGGAGTCTTAAAAAAGGCAGACTGTGTTAAATGAAATGTTTGGAAATCAATTGGTATTTTATGTACCTTTTCCTTTCCTTCCACCTTTTCATCTAGTCTTTTTGCTGATAGCTGTGGAACCTCCTCATTCACTGCTGGTGGCACAACATCAGGTTGAAACTTCTGAGCTTTTACTTTCAGTCTTGGTTCATTGAACATCTGTTACTGTACTTGCTGATTTTATCAGTTATGTTTAAAGAAAAATAAAAAGCTTCCTGTTCTTTGAATCAGATACATATAGTTGGAATAAATTATTTTTTCTATTCAAGTGGAGGTTCAAGCTCTGAACAGGACTAGACTTCTTATATGAGGAAACCAAGAGGAGTGTATGTTATATATAGGAGGAGTTCACATGGAAATTTTAGAGGCAGGTGTAGTAGAAAGTCTTGAAGAAAGGGGTAGGAATCATTGATTTCATGAGGAAATGATCTCCACAGTATTAGTTTCTAGTATATGTGCAGAAAATTGGCTGAGTTTCCGAGGAGCATCTGGAGGTAGAAGTCTCAGGAGAGCATAGTGGGGTGCTACCACTAGTCATTACAAACTACCTGGTTTGTTCCATAGCTCCTTCTCCAAGACAGGAGAGGAAAAGTTATCTTCTCTAATGTGTATTTACATTTGGGGTTTTTTTCTATATGGACTATGATGTGGCAATCTTTTACTCTTTGAATTCTTTTATTCTGCCTGTGGAGATAGTAGTTCAAACAAACTGCAATTCAAGCACCAACACTGCACAACTGCTAATGAGAAGGAATATAACTGTTTCTGCAATATATAAACAGGCTTATCAGACTTCTGAGTCACTAGCTAGAAAGCTTTTTTTCTCTGAGGCTAGGAGGTGAATGAAAAAAATGTTTGGGATGTCTCTTGTATCCTAAACTACTGTAACTGGATTTGCCTAGTGGCCTGCAGGGAAATTCATGTCTTCTCTTGTGGAAACATAACAGAATGGAAAAGTTTCTTTTCCTAGCTTTGCTTGGGAGAGAAAGACAAAAATTTAAATAGTAGGAAAGCTAAAATATGGTAACATATTCAAAGTTGATTACAGTTGTAGCACAGCAGTTGACTCAGTCATCACTAAGTTTGGGTTTTCTATAAGTAACAAGCAATTTCCAGTATACATTTTCTCACAAGTTACCAAGTAATGTTATATATGCAGGATATTCATAGCACTGATGGCTCCTACTACCTGGGTATTAGAGTAGCTGTTGAAATATTTATGAAAAAGGGCTTTGAGCTAAACGTATGTGTCTTATAAATGTTATATATATTCTGCATAAACCTTTGCATTTGGGTGTTGTGAAGACTGTGTTAGCTTTCTGGTTGGTCTGAACAATCCTTATTCTAGGACATTACCACTAGGGCTTACTATTTTACTTCTTTGTGTAGCTGCACCAACCGTTTGTTACAGCACACTGTACTTTCTGCATTACTGTGCCAGCTTCCACCTCATTTTCAGTCTCTATAGCAACATGTTTCTCAGCAACTGGGAGATGCTTAGTAAAGGCCCCTCAGTTTAGAAATATTGCACTCCAACCTTAAGAAAATGCTTTGAAACAAAGATCAAAGAAGTTTTATCTTTAATAATTCAGGATATTTATTACTATTTAATTAGTGTTCTGTGTTTTGACTGCTTAGACAATTACCTGATACTTTGATCTGGGCCTTTGCCAGGCATTTGTTGTGAGCAGCATTAATTTAAAAGCAAAACCTTTAGAACTGTGTCTTGAAGTCAACTTTTAAGTGCTATAAAACTACTGGACTCCTCTGGCAGTGTCGTCTGACTTCTGGGCCTTTAGTAAGTAACGAGAGAAAGGTAAGAGCAGCTACTGTGTTTAAGAGGAGACAATAATTTTGGCCTTTGAACAAAACATAGAATGTGTTCACCCTTCACAGGAAACAAAAGTAACTGTAGGTTATTTTATGCATATTTAAAATGTTGATCATATGTTGCCCCATTTCAAAAGAAAAAATTCTCTGTGATCAAGTCATTGATCTGTTGGGAGATTTCTGCCTTAACTTCGTGTGGCTTGTCTTTCTCTGTACTGTAATTTAATCATGCAGCATGTTTAAAAGTGCATTTTATTTGCTAAAGTTCATATTCTGAGAACCTGTAAGGCAAATAAAGTACATATAAGTAATCAAACATTACTTTTCTTTCACATTCCAATAGGTTTCCAAAAAAAGCTGCTCTTGTTCTGCACATAAGAGTATTCTTGTTAATGGGGCTAAGATTTATAATTGTAAAAATTTATTTCCTGTACATTTGTATGTAATTTTAATTTTCTTGTTTGTTTTCTGTAAGTGTTTTTCATTATTAAAAGGCACAAGTAGCTGAAATATAACACACTGAGTGAAATGGTGTATGAATGAGCAAAGTTAGTTCAGATTTGATGGCTGGCAGATAACTGCTTCTACTTTCATATTATCTTTATTATAAGGTAGATGTGCTAATACTGAAGTAGATTCTGTTCATTTCACCCAGGCATTTTTACTGCAGTCAAGATCTAGACTGTCCACAGAGTTTTGTATATAAAAATGTAGACTGTACATCCATTAATAATGCCTTTTGTAACTTTTTGGAGGGAGTATTCATGGGTATGATATATAATGGTGGGCAGTTTGGTAAAACACATAAACAAGTGCTTAACTTCGAGACCATAAATACCCTAATACAAGGCTGTAGGGTCTTTGTCCATATGGGTCATTTAAATGTTGGACACTGTTCTTACTGGATAGAGATCTTGTCTCAGTATCAAGTGCTCATAGGTTATGCATGCTGCATAATTCAGTAAGGATCTGTTCTTATTTGAGTAAGCAAATTCTAATGAGTTCTAATTAAAGTGAGTTTAACATGTATATTTTTACATTCATTCCATCCTCTTTCTTTATTTTATGTATCCTTGGTGCAGAGAAAAACAGGAGGAAAACACGAGGCAAGCTGTGTGTTTGTAAGTTTACCTTCTAGGTTTCTTACAAAACATGTAGCTTTCAATAAACACTTATGTTTAATTCATTGTTTAGAATCTTCTAATTTCATTAATTTACCTACATTGAATTTTCTGTCAGGCTATGCAGAGTCACCTACTACTGCATGTATTTTAGGAGTAATTGTATCATATTTGCATATACATTGCATATTTATTAGCATATGCATATGTATATGCACAAAGTTACATGCCTGTGTAAGTGTTGGACAGAGCTGTAGTCTTGCAGAACCCAGTGTTGAGTCCAAGCTGTAAATCTTAGTAATGAAGAAAATAGAAGAACAATGGAAAAGAAACATAGTAGTATTTCTTTCAAAAAAGGACTTAAATAAAAACTGTGGCATTGTAGTCTTTAATGAAAAGTTATGAAAGCAAATCTGTATCCCATTGTTATAAGTAGTTATAGGTTACTTAGAGACTGAAACACAAAGTAGCAGCTTACACCAACTAAAATGGTGAGAAGCATATTTATGGTAGACTCAACAATTATAGATCACTGAATATTTATGCTTCATAATTGGCCAGTGTTCTGTCATGTTTATGACAAATGATCAATGATTCTCACTGGAAAAATGTAGTAAGTCAACATTTGTTTAAGTTTGGGTTTAACAGGTATTCTTTAAGTTTTAAATCCTTTCCAAGTATTTAATTTTCATTTATTCTAGCAAAATTTCCTTTTTTTCTCCACAATAAGCCAAATATGTGGCCCTTGGAATCTTGTAAAACTTAGATCCATTATAGCTAGTGTTTTGCAACTGTAATGTTAACTGATAGTTACTATAATTAATTCATATTTTTGTGTTTGAAAATATAATGTAGTTTAGAGCATTAATGAAATAAATCCTGAGGGGAGACATTCAGTTTCCATTATTATCAGGGACATAATTACTTTTGCTTCCAGAGTTGCTTAAAAAAGGCACTTCATGGTTATCCTTCTTTTTCCCTTCCAAGTCAGCTCAACAGGAAATAATGTCACCTCAGACAAAAACGTAAGTTCTGTTTGAAAATTTTAAGAAATACTTGTGAGCAATTGCAATCAATGAATCTTGGGAAGAGGCTGGTTTACAGCTATGCCCTCTGTGACTTGAAATTGTACACTATGGACTGTGTAGTAATCCTGCACCTAAACACTGGGCTCTTACAGTGAAAGATCCGATTTCCTGTACTTGAAACTGTTTTGAGGATCAATTTTGCCCTGCTAGAGTTTTGTAGTTACTTGAGTCACTCCTACTTTATGCTGAGCAGAGAGTTTGCAATTTCCTGGTGTTTCTCTGCACGTGGCACCAGAACTACTATGTTGTCTTATGTAATTCTGTTTAATTAAGTTTCTGAAATGCAACCAGTAAATTGTTCAGATTAAAAGCTTTTATTTGAATGGTTCGATTTGTCTCTGTCTGGAATATGTGTTTTTACACTTTGGTTTGTTTTGTTATAGAATGCCTAATGCCATCTGTTCATTTCAAATGGATCCAGACTTGCAGGGTGAGGATTTTTCTTATTTTTTTGCCAACTTTTCTCAAGAGGCATTTCTGTGTCTTTCTGAACAGAAACTACTGAATTGTAATGAAGTCATGCCACTTTCAGAATCTCTGTCCTGTAGCACATGAATGACAAATTACACAGCTGTTATGTCCTACCTTTATTGTTAGATCTGCCCTGGCACCTTCCTTGCCATTACCACATTGGCTCATGCCACACAGGGGTCATGTTCCCTAATTTATAATATATATGCTAAGTTTTTTCCCATATTCTCCAATAGGCATGAAGGATGGCCAAACACTCCCTCTCTGAGTGCAAAATCTCAGCAAATAGTTCATCTGCTACAAAATGCAGAACTAGCAGGTAACCAGCTGAAGATGTCAGGGAACAATATGCTCTTTTATACGTGCATGAGCTCCTTTCTCAGCTTCTCAACTAAGGGCATTTATGCTTCTTCAGGTGAAATCTGACTCACTGCAGAATGATTACATGCTGGTTTTCTGTCCAAAGGGGAAACCCCATTCCTATGAGATATTAAAGAGTTTAATGCTTCTAAATAGCCTCTCAAAAATAATAATCCTAAAATGCTTTGTATTTTATTTCAGCTTTTTTTCTTTGCTATTTTACGTGTGTGCTCTCACAAGTTAATTCTGGAACTGTGCTTGACAGGCACAGAATGCCCAACTTTGAGGCCACATTTTGTCTGTAAGGATGAACTTGAATTGAGTAGCAGATGGCTACTAAAACAGATTCCCTTCACTTAGAAAGTCATCTTGCACATGGAAGGTGTTTGAATTGGATCATGTGTATGTTTCTAGCATTTGTATTTGAAAATAAGCATTTGGAATTTAATCCACAACCTACTGAGAACTGTGGGAGCCTTTCTGATGCTTTCAAAAGGGCTTTGGATCAGTTTACTGGAGAAAGAGAACTGATGATGCATGGAAGTCAAAACTCATTTTTCACATTGTATGACATGCTACACTACATCTCCAAATAATATCACAAAACATAGTATGACAAGAGCAGGACTAAACAGATGGTATAGCAGTTATTGGCTTCTTTCTATAGCTTAGGCAGCATCTGGGAACCAGCAGAGCCCATAATTTGCTGACTATTAATATTAATCTGATGTATTTGTGGGAAACCATTGCACACAGATTGGCCTGTTTCCAGACTGAAAAGGTAAAGTGTTTTGTGAGTTATTTCTACTCAGTTATGCCTATTTATTGCTTAACTTTAACCTTAATAAACTGTGTGTAAACTCTCTCTGAAGTACAGGAAAAAAGAGTCTCTGAGGACAGGAGGATAACTGATAAATCCCGTTCTATTTTCCAAAGTTTAGTGAACAAGCCTCTTTTTTGGTCCTGAAATTCTAGGTATGTATGTAAAGTGTCAGGTATAGGTCATGTTCAACAGACCTTACTTTCCATGCAGGAAAACATCCTATAGTGATATGAAAGAAATGAGCTGCAATCATGGAGGAGTATGGGATTTAATCAAGCAGCTTGAGTGGAATTGCTAAGCAGATATGTCAAAAGCCAGTAGCTCTTGTAAATTGCGTATCTTTTTCTGCAAGAGTCACAGATACTGATCTTGACAGAAGATTTGTTTAATGCTTGAGACAGTATACATCCAAAACAATAACATTGCTGTGCAGACTGACAAACTGTGCCTTGTCAGAGAGCATCTCTGATGAAGAAACCTGTTTGATTGAAGAAATATTATTTCATTATGATCTTGGCTAAAAGTATGGGCAGTGCATAACCCTTTTCCTGACCCATGAATAAAATTTATGCCCGAAGAAGCAGGTGTGCTCTCCATGGTAAATTCTATTTTTACAACCGTATTACAAGATCATTTTCCCCACCAAGTTATTTGAAAAAATAATTTTTTTTTAAATTTTCCTTCAGAGTTTTGACCAACTCCAAACTCCAAATTTTGTTGTTTTGATTTTTAGTTAGTTTTAAATTAACTGCTCTGTTGTAATGTGTGTTTGTTTTCTTTCACAGAGGCTTTCAATGATGTTCAGAGCTCCGTCTACAGAACAGCCCTAAAACTACGCTCAGTACAAAGTCTGTGCCAGTGTTAGTAGGCAAAGAGAATCCTCTGCTTTTACAGGGAGAAGAATCTGTAAAAACTTTGCATTGCTGTCACCATGAGTCATTATGCTACTTTGCTCTCTCATTTTCCACCTGGAAATCTCAGAATGCATTGTGAACACCTAAGATCTAGATAATGCTTCATACACAATTGATTTTTTTTTTCCTTTTGAATGTCAGTGGAAATACATTAGTAAAGCTCTAAACTTATGGGAGAATCAAATTATTTCAATCTGCAACACTGCTATGTAGACATCACTGGCAATTATTAGTCTTTATCTGTGCGTTATTATGCTTGTGAAAAGTCAAATTCTCATGTTTCTTAGTAGCTAATTTGTTGGAAATAATCTTGGATCATTGAAAATGCATTGACTGGCATTATTATTGATACTATAAGTATTAATGAGAGCAAAATAAAGTACAATAGACCAGAAAAACCCTAGCTAGAATTCATTCTCCCTGTCTTTGAAGTGAGAGAGAATTCTATGCAAGCAAAGAATTGTGGAACAAAGTCCTGCTCACTTAGCTCACTTTGAAATTACTGGATGTAAATGCCATATTGAGCTAAATTTTATGGAAATCTTGAATTTTTCATCTGAAGCAGTCTGTTGCTGAAAATGCACAATATTGCAAGGGAGATCTTGAGGGTAATACAGAAAGATGACTAGTTTGTTGACCTTGACCATAGTTTCCTTCATTTGGGCACAACCACAGGTACTGGTTTTCATTACCTCTGTTGCCTAGTCCTTCGTGTCTCCTCTAGGCAGCCAGAAAATCTACCCCAGTTGCTCTACTCCTCCTTGAACCCTGGTGACCAGAAGTGCACATGGGTTTCCAAACTGAGATTCACTCACACTGTAATTTTCCCATCTGTGCTGGAAAGACCACTGGTGACATATTCTAGATTCTCTGCTGCTTGGGCAATCTACAGACTTTCAGTGTACTACAGTTTTTCTCTTCTGAAGTTAATGCTGATTGATCATGCCTCTGTAGTACTGAATGTGGCCTATAAGAAGCCATAGCTCTGTTCCTATGGGCTGTTAGTTATTCCATACGACATTTATAATACAGCCTTCTTACCCTTTCTTGGCCATAGACCCCTCTTCTCTTTGTATTTTGCATGAGGAGAAAGCTTGCATCAAAGCCCAAATTGTTTTCACAGGTGAGCTTTTTCCTGCAGTACTGAATGGTGTGTAGTTTTATACTATCTATGTATAGAAAAATCTTGCATCTGTAATTTGGATGCAGTTGAGCATACTATTTTCCTCTATAATTTGGGTGTAATTAATCATGCTATTTTCTCCCCTTCCTATCTATCCCAAAATCCCATTCAGGGAATTTTAGTTGAGCTGTTCTATCTTTGTAACCTCCTCACAAGTTTTGCTAGATCCATAAGCCCAGCAAGACCTTTCCCAGATTATTTCCTTTTTATGTTGCATACTGTTTTAGACTTCATTTTACAAACTTGTCCTAGCTAGGCTTCTCTAATACAAAATTGTCGTGCTTCCATTCATGAAGAGGCAGGGATTCTCATTCCTTTCTTCCTTAATTTTCCCACAGTGGATTTGATTGATGTTTCTCTGATTCAACACATTCTATCAAGTGAACAGAGCCAGAGGGGAAAACAGATTTCTCTGAACATGCAGCAAATCTTTAGAATGTTGACAAAACTGTTCCAAAGGGCAAGATTTGAAAAACCAGGCCAGGTAGATCCAAGAGCTGCTGAATTCACGCTGAGTCTGCTTGTTGCCATGTATGACAGGTGAGAAGAAGAATAAATGTAAATCCATCGTGAAGTATCATAGAATCATAGCATTTTTTTTGGAAGGGACTTTAAAGATCATGTAGCTCCCACCCCAAGTATTGTTTCTACTGCTCTTGTACAATTTCTGTATAAAAGTCTCAGATTTGATGTTTTGGGTTTTTTTCTTGGTATACAAATTGGGTGTAGTTCAGCTGTCGGAATATGAGGTAAAAGCTGTATCAGAGAAATGGTGGTCAAATGTTTCCCAAACTATCTGGAAGTCCAGTCTTCTGACAGTGCATGCTGACTTTTTCTCTGAACAGCTTTACAGAGTAGCTCTTCTTCTGACTGCCAAGATATTTTGATACACTCCAACCAAGGAATCCGTATTTGCCTCTGAGGGACAGCACCCACGCACAGGTCAAGAATTTTCCAGTCACTTTTCTTCATTCATTTTTCTCCTGCTTAAAAACTTCATCAACTAATTATGAAACAAAATTGATTTCTCATAACCAAGCTGATCAGCTCCTGCGAAGAGCAAATAGTTTCTGGGAGTAATAAAGAAGCAGCTCACAGAGTGTATTTTTCTCATATATTGTTTATTAATAATGAATTAATTAACTAAAGGCAGGATTGGTTTGTGATTGTATCAGATTTAAAAGAAAAAAGGCTAAGTTCATTGTATAATTTATTTACCATGACTGAAATTTATTCCCTAATACATCAGAGCAAAGTTTTTTACTGGAAGTGAGTGAGATGTAAGAGGTCTCAGGATTTTTTCTTGAATCAGTATTCATTAATAATAAGATCACTACTGCTTAAGGTCCCATATTGTCAATGTTTATTTACTTAGAAAAATCAATTAAGGCTAAGAATAAACTGGTGTATTAAGAAACAAAGTTCGAAACATCAAGAGTATTTTGTAATTTGTGTGCACTGTAGGGAAATAATTTAGAAGAATCTTCTTAACAGGACTATCTTGGTCTTTTATTCTGTTTTTTTAAGACTGTAATTTTCTTTTTGCTGCTTTTTTAAAAAATTTTCACAAGTTTGTTGACATGTATAAATGATAGAAAAAGCTTCTTAAAATTTTCTTCTAATCAAGTTTTCTCTAAGTGCTATTCTCCATATTAACACTGGAAAGTATTTCATAGGAGGAGCACATACTTTGAAGAGTATGTTGCAGCTTTATGCAGAGTGGATTTATCTAAAGACTCTTGGAAAAAATGTTATGTAATGATATTCTGAAGTGCAATACAGCTTTATAAAAGTGGTATCTTAAATACAGAATTCCAGGATTTCCTGATTTGTGCTTTCCAATGTCTTTCGTATTTTTCCAATGTCTTTCACGTCTGCATCATCTTCACAAAAAAATAATGGTTTTGTTCATTAGGTGCTTATGTCACAAACTTGAGTTCTAGATTAATCTGGGTTATTTATTATCTAACAGTCAAAACTGAAGTCCTGGTCCTGCCTATATCCTTTTGTTTAAATTGAGTTGCAGTGAAATTAAATGGAATTAGCTCAAGAAAAGCTCAGTGCAGATCTGGGACCATAGTGAAGCTGCCTGATGTTATAAGGCAAAAAGCAGGTTGTATCCTGTATTCTCTTCCATATTTGGGAATGATTTCCACAAATGAAGAGCAGATTTTTTTTTTTTTTAGGACATGTATTGTAAAAGTAAAATTGTATTTTACTTGGAATGTGAGGTCTTTGAAGGAGATGTTGTGGTTTTGCTTTATAATTGCATGGTATCTTGGAACAGTTAACTCTGAAGTTATGTTCAGTGACAAAGGCTTCTAGACATAAATTATCACTGAAATGTTACATCAGTTATATTTATACATATAAAAAGGTATGAGTTTTGAAGTTGTCTCCCAACATAGCAATATTTTATTCTTTAGAATTTTCAGGTTTTACATTCTTGGTGAATGTATTGTGACTTATTTTATTTTCTTAGATCTGGAACAGGATATGTCAAAATTAGATCTACTGCAGCTGCCCTAATTGCCCTTTCAGGAGACACTCTACTGGCTAAATACAGAGGTGGGAAATATATGATTTTTATACACTGTCTGAAATACTGAACATAAAGATTAATCTCCATTGTAATTTTTTTACTTTAGAAGAGAATACAGTTCTGCCATGCAAAAAGTAAATTATGTTGACTGCTCAGTTATAGAGAAAGGCTGATGCAGAATAATACTTTTCAATGTCTGTAGCCATCTTTGCATAGTCTCAAAACAGATCATAGTAAAGTTTAAAATAAGTAGAGCTTAAAAATGAAGGCCACATTCTATTTGCCTCATAGAAAGGAGAAGAAAACTCCTAGTTTTAAATTTCATTGGATTAGAAGCCATTTTTTATATTTGATCCAGCAAGCTTTTAGACATTAGACAAAAATGCCTAAAAAGTATAACAGATAAAGGTGGCCCAGTGTAATGTGCAGCACAAAGATTTCTGCCTGAATTAAATGTCAAAATGAAGAACAAACAGAGCACAAGTGAAATATTCATCTCATACTCTCCCACTGCATACTGCGTATTTCTTCCAAATTACAATTTGCAATTAACAGTTCACAATTTAAATAGGGCACTGCTTGTATAAACATATTTAAATATTTTTCTTAATGCCATGAGAATGAGCTCATTGCTTCCTTCCTCCTTACCTGTCTTAAATGCCAGCAATAAGGAATTGCCATAAATTCCTTACTTTCCTTCTCTTTCCCTTGTCATAGGAAGAAAGTATTGCCACAGCAGTCACTGTGAGCCTGTTAGGTGGATAATAAAGTGGAGCTTTATTATGGGGTTTATTTAGTAGGCTGCAATTGCCATAGCAGTTTGAAGATAGCTTGAAGACACTTCAAGCTCTTCCAGGATTCCAGTTTCTTTCCTCTTGTTTTCAGCTTTCTTCCAGTTTTATGCTGTTCCTGATGGGAAGGTGGCCTTGATTACCCGTAGTGCCCTGAGAAGCCTACTAACAGACTTAAATCAGGTAATGCCACTGCAATGCTGCTGCACAACGGATTTTGTAAGAATAAAAAAACCATGATTAATACATTTTATATTTGATTACCTATGGGACTGAAGTCAATAGGATACTCTGTGGTCATAGGGAACTACCATGCAAAATAGGTAAAAGAATCAAATTTTGTCCCTTTTCTCCATCAGAGTAACTGCTTGGATCGGTGAACGCCTCTGCAGTCATGTTGCCTGAGCTTATACATCCTAGGAACAACTGCATACAACTGTTCCTAAGGCAACTCCAAACTTCAGATGTCTGTGCTCACTAGAATAGCTTGCAGTTGCAGGAAGATACCTTAGCATACAGATATTTCCATCAAAATTGGTGCTGAAAACAGGATGTGAAAATGACCCCTGAGATTCAAACCCAGTGTCCTTCAGTAGTGTGGCAACGTAGTATGTTGATCCATATCAGTAAGTGAATTGGAAGCAAATCATTTTGAGGCATGCTGAGCTATGGAACTGCATACTGATGGCATAAATATGAACAGGTTTTCTTCAGATCAGTATGTAAAATGGCATTTCTATAGATTCTTCACCATCTGTGTGCTGTCACTATCACAGCAGAGCATGATGGGAACATCTGTTTTTTATTGAGGTGTTTCTGAGCCTTTCTTCTTAATGCAGATCCCAGCCATTGTGGGAGAAAGCTGCACTCTGTCTTGTCTGGAAATTGCGACTCATGACTGTTTCCATGGGGTGAGTGAAATTCTGATGTCCTGGGAAATTATTTTGAATGTTGCTGATTGATTAAAACTAGAAGTGTATCACCATGTAACATCCCCAAGTACCTGCTGTTAAAGGGCAAGACTGACCAACAGTCTCACAGTAAAGGAGGATTTGCATCTATAGAAAAGGTGTTCAGTAAGATACTACTGAAGACTTTTGCATTTATTCCAAAACTTTTAGAACCCAGTAACCCATTTGGAATAAATTTTGCATTTAGAACCCATTTTATATGAATGGAAGATCTGTGCTAGCAAGGTCCAATGTCAAAGCTTTTATTAGGAACTGTAGGTGAGACACCCATTCTTTTCAAATGAATGTATGAACTTGAGACATGTATTTTTTCTAGGTTCTTAATTCAGCTATTGTTGAAGAAAAATTCCTTTCTTGGCTGAGATCGGAGCCTGCTGTTCTCCTGTGGCTCCCTACATGTTACAGATTATCAGCCACAGAAATGGTTTCTCACCAAGCTAGATGTAGAGTCTGCAAAGTTTTCCCCATTACTGGCCTCAGGTGCGTCAGTTCTTACTATTGTTTGCATACCTCACAGGCTATAACTGATGTATTAAGCAACAAACTTTGCATGTAATCTAATTTAGTCAGTAAAAGAGGGAAAGAGCCATCACAGGCTAGTGCTCAAGCCTGCATCCTGCTTCTCTTTAGCTCACTAGCACAGACATGATTATGAAGACTTGCTGAAGGTAAGCTGGCAGTTCAGAAGTAAAGGTGATTAAACCTGAGTATCTAATTTCTTAGTTCTTTGTCCCATAGCCAGTTGTATTAACTGGCTAGTTAGGTTATCCATCTTAACATCTTGTTCATCTAAGTAATGGGATAAAATGGTATAGTGGTAGAAAAAGAACACTCTCCATTACCTCTGACTGAAATGCTCAGAAGATCAATTTACTGTTACTCTTTTCTCACTAACAGTAAGCTTGCAAGTTTAGCTTCTTGCATTTTTAGTTTTTTGCTTGCAAATCCTACGTCAATCATGTGTTACATGTCAGCCAGTATTACAGTTCCATGAGAGCAGCAAATAGAGGTAAGCTGGTGCATGAAGCATATGAAGTTGAAGCTGCATTCTCAAAAATGAAGCTGAACAGCTGTTTCTTCCATGAACTACATTTCAATGCAGTGAAGAAATAATACCAAAATCACTAGTGGGTTTAGAGAATAGTCCATTATCATTTGGACAAAATAACTTGCATTTAGAGAATGTAGAGGAAGGTCATAATTCTAACAAATCTGTTTCTCTGCATTTCAGAGTCCAGGGATCTGTATTTTCAGTAGTCAAGCTCACTTACACCAAGTCCTTACTAATGGGGAAGTTATTGAATTCTTTTGTTTTCCCTCACAGGTATCGCTGTTTGAAGTGCCTCAATTTTGACCTTTGCCAAGCCTGCTTTTTCACTGGCCGTCTCTGCAAACCACATAAGAGGTCACATCCTGTTATGGAACACTGTGTGCAGGTTGAGTCTCATTGTACTGATTCATTTCCCTGTTCAGATTCTTCCTGTAGGCAAGCAGGCAGTAGATTCTTGAACTGCATTCATTATAAAATTGTATGTGGATTAGCCATAACGGCCATGACATAATAGCATTATTAATCTGGGAACAGTGTGACAGGAAAAGGAAAAAAGGTGGCTTCTAACTTTAGAATGAGTGTTTCGTTCTGAAATAACTGAATAAAGCAATGAAATATCCTAGGGCAAGTCCTCTTCTTAAGGACTTCTATGGCAAGTTTGCTGGTTACAGATAATCCTTAAACATGTGTAAAGTCCTATCAGTGTAATCCAGTGCTCCTTCATCACAATCCCAATGCAGATTAATGCAAAAATTAATTCATCCTAAAATTGTACAAACTCCTGCATGAAATGTTTTTTCTTCCAGAATTTTTCCACTTTATTGTAAACCCTTCTGATTCATTTGTCTCTGTCAGTTAGGGGTGTGGCACAAAGAGGTAGCATGTGTCCAACCAAGCTCACCTACTTGGACTCTACTACGGAGCAACTTGTGCTTTCATCACACTAGTGGTGAAGTACAACACTGGGAATTTGTGTTTGGAGGACCAGCTTCTCCTTTGAGCAGGAGATTCCAGATCTTGCACACAGCAGCAGACAGGTTGTTTGAGTTTTTTGTGGATTTATATAACAGTATCCTTCTGTTCCAGTAAATGAGCTGAAAAGCACTTAAGAAAGTTTCCCTAGAAAGCTGTGCTTCATGGTTTTCTTCCCAACACCCTGCAGTTAACATGAAAGATACCTGGGTAGCCAGTGTCTACACTAAAACTAAAGAATGTTAGAGTGCTCTTCTAGTCACCCTTTGTCTTGGGAAACATTAAACTATTGCTGCTTCATTGTTCTCTTTCTGAAAACAAAACCCTATCACTAACACTGTGAGAAACTGGATCTGGATGCTCAATATCTGCATTAAAAACAATTCATTCCTCCAAATATTCTTCCTTATCCTCCATCCATGAGAAAGTAGGAGAACTAAATGGCAACTGATCTCCTCATGTGGAGAATTCTAGTAGAGACATTAAAATCAGTGTGAATGGGAGTGTAGGTGTGGAAGTGCCAGAAGGAAGAGAAGAGGAATATAACGAGGCAGGAGATGATGCAGCCTAGATAAGCTGGTAAGCAAGATCACAGAACTTCCACACTCACCTTCTCAGGACAACCAAATCAGGAAAACATAAGGTAGCCTGAAACAAAAGACAAACTGCCATCTGAAGATGTCATTACTAGAGATGATGATGTAGAGTTAAAGAACAAGACCTCTAAGACGCCCAAATAAGGAGGCAAAAGATCACAATTACTGCCAGCTCCTAAAGGAACTAAAGGTGCATTCAAAAACCAGCCCATGATCACACTAAGACCATGGAGGCTTAAGGAGAATTAGCATCTCTTGTCCTCCAGGTTACTGCATGTGATTATGGCCATACCATGTGTATACATACACCTTGGTGTGTGAATGATGGTAAGACTACTTGGGATCATGTATTTAGTGCTTGTGAGTGAGTGAATATGAGTGAGTGAAATCAGTTTTGTTGTACAGTGAAGTCCCTTTCCTCACCTATACTGTCTGAGATAGAGCTTTCCAACATTGTTGCTGCAATATTGCAACTAGATCACTGAACTTGGGTTTTCTTTATGGAGCCCTACTCCTACACTAACCCTGTCAATATTACTTTATAGGCCAAATATTACAATACAGTCCAAAGTCTACACTAAAATTAAAAGATAAGCTACTCACTATGATAGATACCACTTTTATATCCTTTGTGTGCAACATAAAATAATTAGTAGTAAGCTGCTATCCCAATCTCTTCCACTCTTAGCAGATGCTGTCCTTGTCTGGGTAAGTTTTCACTTTGTCTTTATCATGAGTGAGCTGCTGCGTGGGCATTTGAAATAGCAGCAGTTTTTCCTTTCTGTGCTGACACCTTGTGGTGATGTTACTACCACGTTGAGAAACACTAGGAGGCATGTGGTGTGCTTTCTTTGTGTTTTTCTGTTCAGTCTGTCAGGGCTCACTGCAGCAGTCACTGCCTGGGCAGAATTGGTTTGTGTCCTCCTACAATGCAGCTTCTGAGCTTAATTGCTGTACCTGACTGAGCCTTGGCACTGTTGTGACAAGTGGATGTGTATTTTACTGTATGCTTACAAGAGGAGGACACGAGCCGTGGAAGACTACATCTATGAATGCTTCATACAAATATAAAAGTACTTTTTCCCACTGATCAAGGGAGAACTTAGATACAAGTTGGGCAGCATTATTGTTGTGACTGTGAGCTTAGTCACTGTAACTGCCAAAATCCTGCATTAGGGATTTCCAGGCTGCCTGAATTTGGCCCAGGCAAAGTGATTTGCTTACTTAAAGAATTGGAACTGCTCTTGCCTGTGGTCCTGCATCATCATCCACCTCAGCTCCTCTTCTAGGGCTCAGATAGCAGCCACGAGCCTCTTCAATTGTTGAGGAGATTGACCTGTTTTTTTCTTATGTCTTGCCTTTGCCTTGGACTGTGTCTCCTGGGCAACATGTGTTTGAAAATTCACTCCTGTCTTTGTTATTGCCCGTTCCAATAGATGTCAGCAAAGGCAAGTGCAAAGCACTTTCTCCGCACCATCAGGAACAACCTGTTTCAAGAGCGCTGCCGAAGAAAGGAGGCTCAGAGAAGAAGGACTCTGGAGACAGTGGAGGAGAGGCACTTCCCTACTCACAAAAAGACTTTGTGAGTTTCAGTTTCAGATGAGTTTATAATCTCTGAATGTCAGGATGTGGGATATTGCTTGATTATATGCCCTTTGAGTAAGTGATTTTGTTATGGCAGATACCATGTCACGATTTTTCTATTAAAAAGGGAAAAATAACTGGGAAGTTGCTGCACATTGTTCTATAGCTTAACCATAATTGCCATGCTGATGTCATAATGGCCAGCTGTCTTATAAAGTATAACATGCTTGTGTCTTCCTTCCCTCCTTCCTTATGTTGTCTCTCTTGTTCCGTACCATTTCTTATGCTCAGTCTAGGGTCAAGAACTGCAAATATTTAGTACTTGTCACAACTGCATGGGTTTTTAAGCAACTCTTCTGTGAAAAATTCATTGGATATTAACTGTAATACTTTCCACATGTGACCCACAGTGCATTCAGTGACAGTCAGTCTACTCAAGTCCCACTGAATTTCAGGCCTGCGGGATTACTCACAGTAGTGAGCTGATCTCACCATTCCAGTTCTTTCAGATCAGTTGTTTGGTGTGCTTTGGCTAATATTTAAATTCATTACTGTATTTCAGTTCATAATGAGCATTGGAGGTTGTGTTGTGATTTTTCCCAATAGTTTTTCCTTCCTTGCTATGAGATTTTGATTGATATTTAGATGTAGATACTAAAGGGAATGATTATAAGAGATAAGCATGCAAACTACAAACATGCAAAGGGTGAGATTCCTTCCTAGTTGTATAAAGATCTAGCAACTCTCTTGCATCTCACCTGTGTTCTCCAAATGAGGCTTCAGTGAGACTGAAATAGGGAAAAAATGGTCAGTCCTCTCTAAAGGACAAATTTTCTCCTTGTGCAAAAGAGGACAAAAATCTGTTTATAAAACTGGATTTTGCTACTCTGGTAGGTTTGCAATTAGAAAACAATTTTTATACACTAGAAGACCAATGGATGGTAATTACAGTGATTCTCATAAAGAATATTATTTCAGTGTTTGTTTTTTAGAAAGTGGTGAAATGCAAAACATTTTTTTATTGCTAACATTCTTGTATTCAGCAACAAAATATTATGTCATCATTTTGAATGTCATTTAATTTTTCTGTCAGCAATCGAGATTTATGTAATTCTGTGGGATTTTGCTTATCTACTCCTTGGGTAGCAGTGAGACAAAGAAGAATTTAAGGTTGCTGTTACAGGTGTCACTGTGGGACTGATAAATATCTGGCCTTTTCCAGGCATAGAATGGACTGAACAGCACGATACTTTGCTATATTTTTGTAGTTGAATTTCCCAATATATTTAGCAGCAAATTGCACTGTGACTAAATGGGTGGAAAGAAGAAACTGTTGTTGAGATTCTGTTGGGAGAGTGGAATTTGTTTTCAGGAATTTCCTTCTTTCAGCCAAAATGTGCCAGCAGGCATAGCTAAACCATACTTCTTGCTTAGTCAATAGCACAGCTGTCTGTCTACTCACAGTGCATTTGTTTTATTTCGTTCTTTCTCGATACCAAAACCATATGAGTCTTGATCCCTTCTCTACTCATTATTTCTGTCTTGGCACACAGTCCTCCTGCAGAACTCAGTGCTTCACCACTACCTGGCCCTGAAAACCTGTCTTTCCCAGGGGATGGTTTTGTCCCAGAGTCACCCAAGTTCATAACTGAAAACAGGAATGTAATGCAGAAGAGAGAGAATAACAAAAGGACACCAGAGCAAGGCAAGACAATAGCTCAGGTGAGCAAAACATGAAGCAGTAATAGTGCTAAAGTTGTGAAGAAGACCTACCAAGTTAACTATCTGTTTACCTTCACCTTTCCTGTTAATTCCTCACTTACGGAAAAAAATATGGAATCTGAAAACTTAGTGAAGCTTGAATTTGATGTCTTCCCAAGATTAGTGACTAATCTCCTTGACTTCCATGACCTTCAGAAGCACCTGTAAGAATATTTGCTTTGGGTTTTGCTGAGTTGTCTTAGAGTAGCACACTAAAGACTAGCTAAGACTGGAGTCCTCTCTCTGTTCTGAGAGGTAAAAAATGACATCATGTCCTCCTGCTGCAAGCAAATGGCATAGAGGACTGCCTTAATTCTTAGTTAGGTTCAGACCATTTTTGTTACCATGGCAATAGCAAGAGGACAGAGTGGGCCCCTCTTAAAGATTAACCCAGAGTGGTGTCCACTCCAACTAAAATAGCTAATGCACAAAAGGTCTCCACTAACTATTTCCTGCTTCCCTGCATAGAAACAATACTAGAGGGATGGGTAGGACAGTGTAGATAAAAATAAGTACATAGCAGTTTTTTGTTTCTATGTTTATTTGAAAGATTGGCAGCTCTGCACATACTCAGAATATAGAGAACACTGGGTTGTGTTCAAACCAGTTTGTGTCATCCACTCATCTTGTTCTTGCCAGGAGCCAAGGGGTGCAGTATCTGAGAACTAACCTCTGTGTGTCAGGTCACTCCTTTGGCTGCTACTCCTGTGCTGCCCTTTGGAAGAGATGTCTTTTAGGACTCTGCTGCCCAACTCAAGATATAGTGCCAGCCAGCACATATCTGCAGGAGAAGTTGCGGGCAGACTTAAAGTGCTTAAACATATAATTTTGATGGCTGGCATTTGTCATTTTAGGAGACAGCAGGATAGGACTTGCATCCCTGTACTGGGATTCTGTTGTGCATTGCTCATTTGTTCATTTTCAGTCTGGGCTGAGAATTCTTTTTGAGTAGTTTTATACGGATTTCCAAGATCTTATAGTGCTTACTTCCACTTTGCTTCAAAAGATGTGAACAGTAAGTCCAATTATTGCTTTTAACAGAATTCATGAGTATGGAGGTCCTGGAGACCCAGCTCTTAGTCTTGTAATTTCCTGACAGCCCTGATTCCAGTCCAACTTATATCATGCCCCAAAAGAAGCTGGAAAGCATTTGTCTCCTTGACATCTGGGCTACTGTTCCCTGCATGGCCCAGAGACTGCTACTTCCATGCAAAGGCCAGGAGTTTTCCTTCTCTCTTCTACATCCAGCCTCTCTCTTCATCTCCTTGTCCCAAAGCAGCTGTGGGACTTGGGAGAGTCTGTTCTCAAATCAGAATATTCCATTTTGCAGAAATTGAAGGGAATATGTGTTTTGTTCTTATTTAAAACAAATTGTCATACACTTAGAATTTGCCATAGAATGAAGAACTTGTTCTATAGAATGAATTTTCCAGTCTCCTCTAATAGCCATTAGAAATACTTTAATGCATCAGTTGATTGTAATAAGTTAAATTTAAAAAGCTAACTAGTAAATCTATAAAACAAACCAAATCCAAAATTTGTTATGCCTTCATATAGTAAAATTTGCATATAAAAATGAAATGTTATTGCTGATAAGGTTATGACCAGATACTTCTTTGTGTTCTAGGCAATAGCCTCTTTTGAAGCAGATGTGTTAAAAATGCACGAATCTCTCAAAAGCATTCACAGTGACAGCAGGTATGTAAATTCAGTAGTACACTGACAGAAAACTAGTGGGCAGGGCTCAGTGAAGGGCTAGAAAGGCTAGAAGACAGATTATTTTTCCATACCTTGCAGATTTTGAGATTAAATAAAGATCCTATCAAATGAGGATGAATGATAAAAACTCAGTAACAAAAATTGTAAATGGAGATCAATGGAGAAACAATGTCTGGAAAAGCAAAACATTTTGGTTTGCTTTCATTAGCATTTCTTCAACTGCTAGTTTATATTTCTAAAGGTAATTTTTAAGGGAAAAGATGTTCATTCACATAAAAATACCAGAATAGCATACTTTTTCAAGTTTTTCTCTGAATTAAGTTTAACCAAAACAATTTCATAATTTGCATGAAGTTTTTAAATCAAAATACATTGTCTTTCTAAAAAATGTGCTGTACATCAAATAGAGATTAATAGGCTTAATACAATAACTATTGGTATAAAATCCATGATAGATTATCACAGAAGTTCCTTCTGATATTTAAACCTTTGACAGGAAAAAATATTAATTCCTAAACTACAAATTTCTTGAGAGATTTGTTTGTTTGCATGGCAGGAGGGGAAGTTGCTGTATGGGCAACAATGCTAACCATTTTCTTGCATTTTTACCTTCCCCTCCTTCATTTGTATAGTTATATATGAATGTGTTCTAGATATAACCATGGCTGTGACCCCTGAAACCAATGGAATTACAATGAAGTGTGGTATTTTATCCGGAATCTACTCTTTATTTCCTTCAGTATGTTCAGTTCCCTCTGTTCCTGTTCTGTTTCATTCTAAGTACAATTGCTGCTCCAAATTCACACAAGGGCACTCCAAGATCAGAGCTAAACAATTGCAGTTCCATTGTAAGCCTGTGTCCTTACCTCATTTTCTGTTCTCACCCAGGCAAATAAAGAGATATGGCAAAGATCTTCAGCTTTCATTTAGATTAGCAGAAGTTGAGAGGATATCTGGGAAGCCTGCTGCTGAAATGCTGCATCACCCTCTGACCCAGAGCTTATCATATAACAGGGTGAATGAATCACATTACTCATGGGAAGCTCTTTATTCTTATTTGTGGGCCAACTTCCAGCATTCATGTGCCTGTTCACAGAACTGGCTCTGAGTTAGTTGAAGGTGGGCAGCATTTTACAGTAAAAACCCCTTAAATGCTGTTATGAGGGACTGCTGTAATGCTAATCTTCATTTTAAATTATATGACTTGTTGTCCTATTCAGACAAATCTTGCATAATTCTAGGGAAATCTGATGGGGCTCTTGTCTCTAAGCCAAAGTATAACCAAAAGAAAGTGAATCAGATGAACTTCTGGATGTAACTAAGCAGGTCAGATAACTATTTCAGCTCTGTGATATGAAGCAGTTGGTTTATTATGGTAGGGTTAACAAACTTTACTGTCTCCACCTCAGCCATGAGGAAGGCAAAACTATTTCTAACCTGACTTCTTAGAGAAATCCCAACTAGAACAGAATTATAGGTGGTATTTTTGTCACACTGTGCTCTGAGTAGGTAATTTCTAGATCTCTGGTATGTGTGGGAGGGTGGCACTCCTTATTGCAAAAATCAGTGACTTTTCAAGGACAAGTGCTCTGTGCAGAAACTATTGGTATAATCAAAGAAACTGCATAGAATACCATGAGCAAGAAAGAAACTCTGTCAAAGGGGTAGAGGCTGCTTTTACTTTGTTGTTGCCTGTGGCATGTAATGGGAATTTTTTGCAGTTCAGGGAGTTGCCATAAATAGTTTGCTTCTAGACAGAGGGGCTGCTGTAATGTCTTCCCTGTTGAAGCTACCTTTGTGGGAAAGGTAAAACCCCAAAATGCAAGGTTCAGTCCTGGCCACAGCTCTATTCAGCTTACATTTTTCCTCATCTAGAATACTCCTATTCTTGCTAATTCCATGGATACTGCCCAGCTCCCAAAACAGAGGTCTCTAATCTCAAAGCTGACAAAAATTTTCTAAACTGATGAAGGGGATAAAGTTTGTGCTAAAGTGCTAAAGTGCTAAAGCTTTTCCATGACTGCATGTATTTGTGTATGTGTGATCTACCAAAAATCCCACCCTCCTGCATCTTTGGCAGGTACATGAAGAAGCAGTTCATCAAATGGAAGGACAAAATGCAATTTCTTCACAACTGCCAGGAAGAAAAAAGCTGCAAAATAGAGGCAAAACTCCAAAGACTGAGACTAAGCCATGAAAACCTGCAAATGACACTGCAGCAAATGAAGCAAGAAATAAAGGTACAGTGACAAATATACCAAGAATTAGAGCTATGGGCAATTACTGAACACTAACTACTGCTTCCTGCAGACCAGCACTCTTGATACTATTTCATGCACCTTCCACCAGTATTTTCAGTTATCTTAGGTTCTTGTCTTCAGTAGAAAGCAGATAGAAAGCAGCAGGGATTTTCTTGTCATTCTGTGTATATTTAGGATCTAGCACAGATATCCATGCTTGGATGTTTAGGTACTACTGCAATGAAAATAATGAATATTCCAATAAGAGAAAAGTGGTATCCAACAGAAGTGTTAGATACTCCACTGCAATATTTTCTTCAGAGAAGAGGCCTGTGTTGGCACTGAATAAATAAAATACTCTTTTGTCATTCCTAATGACCATCTTTTACTGGGAAGTAATACAGACATCTTACAGAAAATATTTTATTTCTTTTCAATTGTATTGATTCTTGGTCATTAAAATTATTTATGAGATTCTAAAAAGGCCCTTATTTCACAGAGAATGTATACATATTTGCCACCTACAGCATTTTTGTAGCATTTTCTGCAATGCTGCTCTAGTACTACTGGCAGACCAAAATATCAATTATTTTTACAATGTATTTTCTGTGTTTTGTCTATTGTAGACAATGTTACAGTCATCAGAACGTCCTTTTGCACAGTATCAGAATACAATGCCAAGAAATCCACATGTTCTGCTGGAAAGGAAAATGCAGAGTGAATTAAATCCTGCCCAAATAAGGCCTACTTCCAGAACATGTGCAGAATGGAAATCTTTGAATCCCCCCAACCCTGCAAATAGAATGCAGCTTTTACAGACACCTGAGCTTCCCACTCCAGTGGACTTCATGTTTTCAGACAACCCACTGGAGTCAGTGTCCCTGCAGAGTGACAGACCCTTTATGGAACAGTATAAAAAAGCAAATGAGAATCAAACATATCTGCCTAAATTGACAGAAAATTCTCTCAGTGGCATCAGGAGGAACACAGTTCTTACTCCCGCTGCAGTGCAACTACCACCTGATGAGAAGGAAGTCAGAGAGGAAGTGGAACTGCAGCAGCTAGTGATGAAACTGAAGGATGGATTGGCTCTCCAAACCCAACCAGGTATAAGCTCTCCCAGTAGTCTTGACAGTGTCTCCTCACCTTCATCCAATTTACTCTGTAATATTGTTCATAATCGTTTAACCCTCCAAGGAAACTCAGAATCTTGCCTTAGCTATTGTAGGAGTATTCAAGTTCTGTGTTGTAAGGTAGAGCATATTCTGAATATAACCCCTAATGCTGGACTAGTTTGAAACTGGATGAGTTAGAGCTCATAAGAGAAAATCAGTCTCAGCAGTCAATTAAGGAGCAAAGTTAAACTGTTGAGGGCACTGGAGGTCTTTGCTGTTGCCACTTCTGTGACACTGTAACTATGACTCCAGTCATAGGCAGACTTCAAGCAGTACAAAATCCCTATGTAATCAATGGTCTTACACAGCAGGGCTTTGTTCAACACTCAGGATGCCTCACTTTTGATAATGAGGATGTAATCAGGAATATGACAGAAAAAGCTGCCATATCTACAGATTTATCTTAAATTAAAGATTTAGAAAGAGTTTTCCAGGGCTCTGGCAGCATTCAAAAGCTTAGAAAGACTTAAAATCTGTTCTGCTTTTCAGCCCAACAGACCACTTTGAAGCAGGAGTTGTTCTCTACAGCTGAGCATGTCTGCAGATCCTTTTGTGACCTCATCAACCAAGTAATTTCACCAGCTTGTGAATGATGGAAACCACCATTCACCTTACAGCTTCACTGAACTAGTTAAGGTAATTGATGCTGTATCAGATTCTTTGAAGTGTCTCAGGTGTTGCATTGTCATAACACAGCACAACAGATTTCTGTATTTAATGACTTCACCAGGAACATATTGGAGAACAATATTCCTTTTCTGTTGGTGGTTTTCAGCTCCTGTGCAGTGGATTCCTCAGCAGTGCAAATGATTGCCCATTTCTCTCTCTTTAGCTGATATCCCATGGTCGAGTTACTCCTTGTAAGTAACTCCAGTATTTCTTGTTGGTGCCAGCAACAAGCAAAACTTTTTTTTTCTTCTAATGCACAAAAGGATTTTAAAGATCTGAGAAATGGAAATTATGCAGTACCACTTCAGAGAGAAAAAAAATATAGATTCAGTTACTATCACAGTTCTGCAGGAGGTGCATAAAAAGTAGTGAATGAGTATGTTCATGTGTGCTCAAAACCAGTTATGGTTCAAGAAAATTTGCATAATTTTAAGGATTTTAAGGATGTTTCTGAAACTGTAACAGCTTTCCAAGAGAGAAAATACTCCTAGTTATTGCAGGATTTTTTCTGTGATTACTGAGAAAATAAATTTGGCTTGGGTAGCAAGCAAAATATTTTTGAAAGCTTTGGGAGGAAAGTGAGGTAAATTATATATTCAGAAGCTTTGCTTCATATATAATCAAACAGAGTTTAGGCTGATGTGACTGAAAAGTGTAGCACTCTAAAAAAGCTGTTTAGCAGAACTCTTAATTTTCCACATAGATTTTCCTTGTCTTGTATTTTTCAGAATGAATTATAATCATCAAGATAAATCACAGAATCACAGAATATGCTGAGTTAGAAGGAACCCAAAAGGATCACTGAGTCCAACCCTTAGCCCTGCAAACAACCAGCCCCAAGAGTCACACCATGTGCCTGGGAGTATCATCCAAACACTTCTGGAACTCTGCCAGGTTTGGTGCTGTGACCACTTCCCTGGGGAGCCTGTTCCAGTGCTCAACCACCTTCTGAGGGAAGAACCTTTTTCTATCCAACCTAAACTTCCCCTGACACAAATTCAGGCCATTGCCTTGGGTCCTGTCACTGGTCATCACAGAGAAGAGATCAGTGCCTGCCCCTCCTCTTCCACTCACAAGGAAGTTGTAACTGCACTGAGGTCTCCCCTCAGTCTTCTCTTGTCCAGGCTGAACAGACCAAGTGAACTCAACCACTCCTCACACAGCTTCCCCTCAAGGCCCTGCACCATCTTCATTGCCCTCTTTTGGACATTCTCCAATAGCTTAGTATCTTTCTTACATTGTGGTGCCCAAACCTGCCACAATATCCAAGCTGAGGCTGCCGCAGTGCAGAGCAGAGCAGGACAATCCCCTCCCTTGATGGGCTGGTGATGCTTTGCCTGATGGCTCCCAGGACATGGTTGGCCCTCCAGGCTGCCAGGGCACTGCTGACTCGTATTCAACTTGCCATCGACCAGGGCCCCCAGGTCCCTTTCCACACTACTGCTTTCCACCCTCTCATTCCCTCAGTTCTGTATGTCCAGGGTTGCCCCATCCCAGGTGCAGAATCCAGCACTTCCCAATGTTGATGGTTGGTGATTGCCCAGCTCTCTAATTTGTCAAGGTCTCTCTGCAAGGTCAACAGCTCCTCCCGGTTTTGTGTTGCCTGCAAACTTGCTTAGTATCCCTTACAGTGTCCAATCATTTATGAAGATGTTGAAGAGCACAGGGCCCAAGATGGAGCCCTGTGGAACCCCACTAGTGACAGGTCACCAGTCTAATGTAACCCCCTTCGCTACTACCCTCTGTGCTCGACCCATGAACCAAATGCTCACCCACCACATGATGTGACATTTTGTCCAGAAGGATACTGTGAGAGACAGTATCGAAAGCTTTACTGAAATCCAAAAAGATTAAATCAACTGGCTTCCTTTGATCTGCTAGGGACTGTCTGACTCATTAAAATGGCTAGAAGTCTTTTTTTCTGTTGGTAGCACCTCAGCCTTCTTGAAAGACCTTACACTGTGGTGAGATTAATAAACATTCCTGGTTCTTTCTGCTAGTTTTGGTCACAGGAAGCCTGAATTACCCACACTGCAAACACTCAAGAACTTTACAGCAACTTAGCTACTGGAAGCTAAGAAGTGGTTTGTCTCTACTAAAGGAGGTATGAAGAGGGTGAAAAGAAACTTATTGAGGAAGGGCCCCAGAAAACAAATAGTGATGAGGTCACTGGTAAGTGGATACAGCCATACTAGCACATAAACAATACAGTGTGAGATAGAAGCTCAATAGCTTTTGCAATATGCCAGTGCCAAGAGACAAACAACAATCCAAGGAACCTAATTGTTGATTATGGGAAGATAGCCATCAGCTTCTGATGAGGCTTTAAATCTCCACCCAGTGTGTGCATCTGAATTAAAAATGGTTGGAAACAGTGACAACTGACAAATACTGGTTTGGTCTGATGCAACACTGAACGTATCTGGAGCCCAAATTCTTACAAATAGATAGCCCTGAACTGCCGTGGACTCTTACTTCATGGCAGTATGTAAAGACTAAAAGAAGTGTTGTCCCATGCTAAGAAGCAGTTGTTTAGCTCCCAAATACCTACAAGAGGAAAGGGACAAAATCACAAGGTCTTTCTTTTGCTGTTAGTCAGTTCAGCTGACAAGGAATCAACCTCTGTCAGACATGTTCATCCCATCCTGACAGACTCCAACTGGGAAACAGTAAGCCAGGTATAGTATCTGCAAAAACAGTCCTAACTCGCTCAAAGATCTCAGCACAGACAACCTTTTATCATTTGCACTTTATCACTTGCAGGTTTATGTGTAATGAATTGCATCTCCTTTTTTATTTCAACACAATTAATTGCACAGGTTGTGTCCTTTACGTCATCAATTTCCAAATGTTCTCCATAGTGTGACCTATATTAGAGATTCATCTGTTTTCTCAGTCTTGTCTCTACATTCTTTCCTCGAAGGCCAAATTTTGCTACAGCCTATTAATTAAGAAGCTTGCTGAAGCACAGAAGTATTGAAAATTTGTTTAAGCTAAATACCATCTTGGTCCATAGTGGTATTTCACCATTTCTGTTGCAATCTGAAGGGAAGAAAGCTGCCATGAACCATTTCCTAAGGGATCCTGTCGTTGCAGCTGGAGTATGCCTAAAGTGGAAGCACTAGCCTCTTCCCAAAGGGCCCTGTGGAAAAGCAGCTAAGATAAACAGTACCTGTTCAGGTAATCTGTGTCATTTTATATTTTCTAGAGCTGAAGTGCATATGGGAACAGGTAACATCTGGTCTACTACAATGCCAATTGTATTGTAGTGCCTGCTGAGGCATCCAGCCCTTAACACGCTCTTTGTCAGTTGCTGGACTTAATAGCTGTAGGGACTGTGGGTGAAGACGTCTCTTATGTTGATACAAAATTGCACACAATGGGGCTTTTAGATATATTAATATAATTTAGTTAATTAAGAACACAGGAACAGGAGAGAGAGGACCTGTTGTAATGATGGTCTTGCCGCCCTCCCACACGGTAGCAAAGCACACTCATAGGCTGTGGCTGCAGGTGGGGGGGTGTTGCTGAGTACACTAAACTATGTTCCTGTGCTTATCCTGCTTTAGTGTTCCCTCTTCTCTTGAACACTTAAATAGTTTGTTGCATGCTTAACTTGAAGCACTAATCCAGTGACACTGAAGCCGATAGTTTCCTTACAATTCTTTGTCTGCTTCCTTAAGATCAAGATTTCACCCAGTGGGACTGTGTTTAACCTTTACTTTGTTCAGGCCCAGAAACCATTTTAAGATTTCCTTTACACATTTTGTTACTTGAACCTATTTCTCCAAGTTGATGAACAATCAACAAACCAGTTTTTCTGCGGGCATTTGGAGAAAAAAAAAGAAAAAAAGAAAAAAGAGCAATGAAATATTTCTACTTGCTCAAGGAAAGAAACTTTGAATGAGCAATTAAGTATAATTGCCCTGGAAAGCTGAAATTTGTAGTTGCATCCAGCCAGTCAGGCAGTGGAAATATTTTATCTCATAAAAGCATGAAATGTTACCTGTCCTAAGTTATGTTGCATTAGTTTAATATCAAATTGCCTACTAGAGTTATAAATAACACAGGAAACTGATTTTTCTACAAAGAGCTTGCGAACTAAAACAGAAGCAATTTTAAGTTATACATGAGTTTCTAGTGGTTAAACACTTTAAATGAGAATGTGTAACATATTAAGTAGTGTTTTTAATAACTAAGAATTTAGGGAAAATATCATAAAAATATAATGTGAAAGCAGAGGAGGTGGTAAAATCTGTTAACCCTTTTACTTTTGCTGGAAAACTTGAAGCATTTTTGGAAGGTATTTTTCATGTAAAAATATGTACTATTTTTCTTTTAGTAGCATGATGTCTTTGAGCAGTGATTGCTTTGTACAAGTGTACAGCTACACATACAATCAAAATCACCATCTTGACTCTAATCCAGTCTTGGAGCCAGTGGAGGTTTTTTGACAATTTCCGTCTCTGTTTCTCGGTGTTTTGTTGAAGGATCGGTTATTTCCTGTTTTGGCACGCAAAATGGTGCCACCTGTGAATGGGTCACATATATTACAAAAAGCCTGAGATACATACGGGTTAAAGTAGGCAACTGCTCATAAATCATGCAGTTTATTAAGGAGATGAAATTAGTAGAAAAAAAAGTAAGTCCAAATTAATCAGAGATATGGTGCCCATGCTTACAGGCCTTCTTCTACCATGTAAATTGACATCAGTGAGGATTAGAATGAAAAAAATAAAGAGACGTAGTTAAAAAATACCTACAAATCAAGATCTTGAACTAAAAGTTTGATTTCCTCTTTTTTCCTAACTCTCCAGTGATTCTTTGAAGTGATGTAGGTCTAATCTTACGCATGTGGATACTTATTAAATCTTCAAATGAGTCTCTCTTCTTCAGAACTGGTGACCTCTGAATACGAGAAAATATCCCTGAAAAGTGACATGAAAATGCATATAAATAAATAATTTCAAAACAGCAAAGAGCAGCTGAATACTCAGTTTCCCACATCTGTTTACTTTGCTTTTAGCTGCTGCTGGTCCCCATTTTATCAGCATTGCCCCCAAACCTCTTGCCGTGGTGATATCCATAACCCTCTACTTGCAAGAGTTGCCTTTCAGTGTCAGGTCACTTTGATCTTTTCCCCCAGTATGGACCTTTTCCTTAATCTTCCTATAAAACTCTTCTACTTTTTAATTAGCAGCTCTTAAGTCTGCTCATAATCTTATTGACTCACCAGCTTCTTATCATCCTCCCTGCACAGTGCATGAGATCTCTCACACTGTTTAGTGGCAGATTTGTTATTTGCTTGAGGAACTATGGGACATTTTCTTTACAATGATCTCTAAAATCTGGCAGGTTGGTTTTCTTTCTCTTAGACATATTTGCCTTCTGAAAAAATAACTGGCTAGTACCTGCTTATTTACCAGACCTCAAATGTACAGTAGCACCTGACACCTGGCAACGTTGGGACAGCAAATTATGCCTGCCTTGGGCCAGGTGCAAGGGCTGATTTGAGCCTAATTAGCTGTACCTGTGAGGGAGGTCTGCACAGCTGTGGCCACTGAGTGGCAGAGGGACTGCTGGGCAAGGAGAAAGGGGGTAGAGAGAATTTTGTGTTTGCAGTCTTCAAGTGTTTATGCTGGGGGTGTGCTGTTGGCTTCTTGAGGAGGATTTTTTAGCTGCTCTTCAGGAATATTTACTGTGAGTACAAAAGCTATGTTTTCCTTTTGGTTCCAAAGTCTTATTTTGGTTCATGGAGAGTTGTTACAAGTATCATGTAACTCCAGTGTTGTAATGTTTTGGAAATGCCTTTATGAAACCTGCTTTTTCATAGTGTTTGGATCTTGTTAGGGGAAAGATGAGTTACTTAAGATACTTTGGCCAGGTAACTGTTGAAGCCTCCCCCTACTTGTCTCATTCCTCATCACTTGCTAGGATGTGATTTCTATCTGCAATTTTTACCAATTGATTTCTGCTTTCACTGAATGAAATAAGGCAGTAGGATCAAGGGTTACAAAGATTAAAACAGCTGGCTTTGTTAAGAAACTAGGAGACTTGGATGAGAAGTTAGATAGCTCCTCCAAAAAATAAAATTTAGGCTGTCACTGCACTAAGCTGCCTGCTATAGCCTGATGTTAATCAGTTGTACAGAAAAATCAGATTAACTGATTACAATTCACAAAACAAAGAGGGAAAGGAAGGAGTCCTTGTTTTTCTTAAAGTGCAAATACTCAGTAGCGCTTAAAATCTCTCTATGTAAGTATAAACAAAAGTCAGTATTTATCACAAAACCCATAATTTGCTTCTTCAAAATAAATCAGACTGTTACGCTTAGTCTTGACTGGAACAAAAGCTCTTTGTTTAGGAAAATCACGGTGTGATATAGATACGAAGAGCCAGATGTAAGCAAAAGGCTAGCTGGGAGTTTCGACAGGGATATTCAAAGCTGCAATCCTGAAAACAAAAATAATCAGGTGCTTTTGCCTGAAGGGCATCTAAGTTTTTAACAATGCTACTGCCTCACATGTCTAAAGCTGCATTCTGTTTGCACCCAAAAGTGCATCAGTCTGATAAGGGCTGAGCAACTTGTTGCCTTTGTGATTTCTAAGGCCAGTTGGAAACCAGAAGTTCCAACACAGCCAAGATCCAGTCAGTGCTATGCGATAGCTCAGATTCTTTGTGGAGCAGGATAGGATATACTCCTTGCTTTTAAAGTGCAGGCAGTCATTGTTTGGCTCATATTTTAGAGACTGACCCTGTGTGTGTGTGTTCTTCAGTCTGAGGGGATTGATTCAAACACAATTCCTATATCCTAGCTTAACGGCTGTGACACTTTCTCTAGGTAACAGGGGTAAGGACCTCTCAGTCCTTCCTATCTCAAATACTGGCTTTCAATACTCAAAAAAATGTTGAGGTTTGTGGGCCAGAGCTGGACTGTCCAGTGGTGTAGTGTCCCTGTGCTGCAAGAACCCTGAGTTCAAGTCCATTTTTAGAGATACTCTAACAGGTAATTGCCCAGAGAGGTTCTTCATTATTCCATGGACATTCCCCCCAAAATGCCTTAATAAGTCAGATACTGATCTAGGAAGTGTCTCAATCTGCTCAAGTGTAAAGGGGGTACTGCCTTCTCATCCTTGCTTGATGTTTTATTCACAAGCACTCCTTTTGCAGTCATCATGGCTGCCTGCTCCAGAGGGGAGAGGGTATCTGACTCTGAGCTAGGATGTTGTAGTTGGTTGGTAGGAGACAGTAAAATGCACTAGAGCTGTTGGTGATGGCAGCGGCCATTCTACCTCTCCATTAAATCATAGCACCTGCCCCTACCTGAAAGTGGATATTCTCAAGGGAAGGGTGCATCTGTTGGTAGCAGGATCAGAACTGAAGCCTTGGAAGGGACTGAGATTTAGGAAAAGCTATGCTGTATCTCCCTTCTGGTAATGGGGAGGGTAAGTGACATGCATATGGAAACACTTACTTTAAGCCTGGGGGTTCTGCTCTGGACCTGGGAACCTGGACATAAGGAATTGCAGCATTTAGTGTCACAAGATAGTGGTGTCTTCCTGAAGCTGCAGCTGTGTCTGAAAGCCTGCATGCATCTAAGTCCTAGCTCTGTTTCCACTGTGTGTTGGGTAAAGTTACCAGTATGGAAATGGACAACTAGTGGTTGAGTGCTAGATGGCAAGTAAACATACCCTTCCTCTTCTGCTGAAAGACTACTGTGCTCTCCAACAGCACCAGCACCCTGCACTCCTGAGGTGACACACCCCTCAGAATGGGGAATTCAGAACTAGCCTTTTCATAGCACAGTAGTGGTAAAAATGCCAGTGTGGAAGAATATATTTGTGTTTTCAGTTGCTGAGCTGCCTTCTTTGTCCTAATCCTCCTGTTTCACTTTCTGCAGCCCCTCCTTCCCCATCAGACTGAAACTTAAAAGCTGTTGTTAGAGTTCAGATTGTTTGGAGGTCACATTTTTACTGAGATCACATTGAATATAAACATAGTTCTGTATTTGATTAGGAGGAGTTTGTGCAACACTGTACTCTGTTTCTGTACTATAACCACATAATACAGTAAGCCTGTATTGATTTTCTTTCCCACTAAACTCTAGTTATTGCCCATGAGACTTGTATTAAAGGAGCAGTGACCTTGATTTCGCCCTGCGAACTGAGAATGTAGAGTACCAATCTTCTGCTCAGCTTCTGCTAGCTGCCTTCTCCCTAGGCCATGGGTTCTGGAGAGCACACAGTCCACATAGATATCCCAGAAGAGCTGAGCTAGGTCCCAGAACAAAGCCCCATGTTTCAAGTTCTCTGATGATTTCAGAAATATCATGAAGTCCCAAAAGCCACTGACAGAGTCAGAAATGCGAGGCTTCCTCATCTCCAGTAAGACAGCTGAGGAGGATTCCCAACACTGGGGGTCTGCCCGCCCAAGAGCTAGTGGATCAATTTGACTATGGCAGAGGAAAGGTGTCATGCAGAATGCTGCCATGAGTAGCAGAGAGCAGGTGAGTCTCATGTTACAGTGGATTCTTCCTCTGCTCCCAAGGTCCATTGTGTCACTAAAATATAAGAAAACCAAAAGAAGCTGAAAAATTTCTCACTTTTAGATGCAGATCATATAGAAGGCACTCAAATGTTAATTGTTTCTCTGCTCCTTAAAGATGTGTGTATGCTTTTTTGCATGTGTGAATATAAATACTAGAGGAGTTGCAATACTGTGTACAGCAGAAGCATGTGTAAAAATTTGCTAATCATCCTCAAATCTGTATGATGAACTCTCTTATTTGGAACTTCTTCAAATTGAAAGTTTTCCACCTTTCTTGATTTACAGATCCCTACTTTTTCAGTTAAAATCCATTCCTTTTTACAGATTTTAAGCCTTTAGGCAGTCTTGATTTTCTCAAAATTTTATGAGCCCTTTAGTCTTCAGAATCACAAGCATCAGTGGAACAGCAGGTGGAAAACTTTTGTTGAAAATGTGTTTTAATGTTTTAATGGTTCTAGTTAATGAAAGCTGCAAATTCATCCGTTGGCCAGTGGTGTTTTGCTTGCTAAAATGCAGTACAGTTCTGAAAAGAGAGTATAGCAAAGCCATGGCATGGCAGCTGTGTCGTACAACATGTATACATGCATGTGGAACCATAGAACAGTTTGGGTTACAGGGGACCTTTCAATGTCCTGTAGTCCAACCTTTGCTCTATTGCAACACGCCCTGCTAAAAAGTCTGTCCCCAGCTTTCGTATAGGCCCCCTTTAAGGAGGATGCAATAAGGTCTCCCTGGAGCCTGCTCTTTTTCAGGCTCAACAACCACAACTTTCTCAGCTTTTCCTCACAGGAGAGCAGTTTCAGCCCTCTGATCATTTCTGTAGCCCTTCTCTGGACTTGCTCTAATAGGTCCATATCTTTCCTGTGCTGACATATATATATGTATATATATATATATATACACAGATGCTTATTGCAGATCACTAACAATTGTCTGTTAAAACTGTGAAGTTTGAGAAGTAGCAAGCAGCATCTGTAATGGTTGAGAGAAATCCTGAGAATTATAACTTTTTGTGGACAGAAAGGCCTTGTCTTCATCAGTTTTCATTTCTAGTATGTGCTTCTATGTTGAGTTTTCAAACATGCTTCTAGAATTTCTAATTTTGTAAAGAGTTTGGGGGTTGTTTTTAGTGTAGTTCATGGCATATGGAGAACTTCCCATTTGTGGGAATCAGCAACATCTGAGATCAGCATTTAGGACAAACAATTCTGTTTAATGTATATGGTGAACATCTGAGAATTCATGCTTTTACATTTTCAGTTTGAATGTTGGCAGGGGGGAAGCTACCTCTCTTAATAAGCTTAACTAGATAATCAACTGGCTTTTGGTGTAGAAAGTCTCTTCTATGAGTGATCATGAAGAGCAGAAAAAATGTTCCTTTGCTGTGTGAAGGAGAATGCCAAAGGCATGATATGGATGTGCAGAGGGATTGTACATGAAAGGTAGCTCAGACATAAGCCTGTGTGCAAGATTAGAGAAGCGTAGGCTGCTTTGTGGAACTTATTTCCTTGTAGAGCTAAAAGACTCTTCAGAGACTTCAGTCCTGGCAGTGATATTTTTACCTGACCCCCTGTCTGGCCACCTGGTCTGGTTCTGGGAACATTTTTTAGATATTCAAACTTTTACTCTCCAACTTCTTACAGTTTCACCTTTTTAATCTGAGTTGGGATCTTATGAGATCTGCCTTAACAGCCTTGACTCTGAACCTTCCATTTATTGAATAAAAGACGGCCAGCTTGCTCTTCTTGCCCTGCTCTGCCTAGTGGGATGTCACTTATGACAGTGTGATAGTAATGGGGCTGTCCTTGTGCTGCTCCTAAGATCTCCAGAAGCATCATTCTTCTGTACCCTGCTGTACGAGGCAGGTTTTGATTGCTTTCTTGGAAGCAAACTAAAGGACATCCTGTGAGTCACTACTTCATTCTTCTTTGTGCATCAGAGCCCTTCTTCTGGGCAGCAGACACCTGTACATATGTGCTGTGCAGTATACACATACCTATCTGTTTACTGAGGCTTTTTCAAGAGACATAATTGACTTTTTTACCAAGCCTCTAGTTTTCAAAGCAGCATAGCAATCTCAGATATGACCATGGGGGTGGGGAGACAGATACGGGACAGCAGTGGCAGGGGAAGCACCAACACCAAATAGTTCAGACAAAGGAGAAATAGTAAAATGGGCTAATAATACTAAATAATAATAATAATAAAATCCTTAAAAGGATGGTTCTGTGATTTGGACAGGGCCCATCTGGTTTGTACAGGTTAACAATTGAACTGGTTGCTTTGCATTTTCTGCTCCCCAGCACCTATCAGAAACTTTCTAAGTTACAAAACTGGGTAAGACAAGGGTTCTGGATTTGTCAGAACAAAGGGACAGCCCTGGGCAGGGAGCTGGTAGGGCATTAATATGAGGGTGGGTGCCCTCGAAGGTGTGTTGTGAATGCCATCAGTCAGGGCCACTAGCTAAGGACACTAGTCCTTATAGTCTGGCCAAACTTAAACAGCATTTTGCTGTTAGCCTTCAACAAGGTTTAGGATTTTATTTTTTTTAGATAGTTGAGCACTGAGGGCATGCTCAGGAAATGCCAGATTTCATTAATCTCTTACCTGTTCATGGGGTGAATGCTTCCCTCCTCCCCCCCCCCTCCCCGCCCCGCGCCCTCCAATCTTTAGGTCTTTCCGTCCGTAAATTGAAGTTTGTGTGTGCACGCTATTTACACCTTCTGGCTCGGACTTTTTTCCCCTCATCCCCACTGCTTGCAGTTTCGTCTCGCATTCCACTCCCCGTCATGAATAATGCCGTAGAATAGCAATTTTAAAAGTTCATCAGTTCCTTCGGTTCCACCATTTAACTTGTAGCTCTCAGTTACAAAGTTTCTCGACCCTGGAGCTGCCGCAGCCGGTCGGGCACACCAGGGGTCCCCGCGCCGCTCCCGTCCCGTCCCGCCCGGCTGCGGCGCCGCCCGCATCCCTCATCCCTCATGCCCTTACCTGTGCGCTCCGGCGGGCAGGGCAGGGCAGGGCTCTCCGCGCCCGCTGCCGCCGCCGCGCTCCTTTAAGAAGCCGGAGCGGGCAGCCCCGCTTAGTTTTTACGTCAGGGCTCGGGAGCGGCCCCCACCCCCGGGGCCCGGCCGCTGCTCCCGGGCATCCGGAGCTCCCTCCTTCCCTGCGCGGAGCTGTCCCTGCTGCAAACGCGCTCTGCTTCTCTGCCCTGCCTGTTCTCCTCCGCTTGCGGACCCCGGCCCGCCCGGGAGCAGCCTGGGCGCAGGGGGCTGGAAGAGAAACAGACTTGGCAAAGCTACAGCCCTCCTCTTGCCCCCAGTCCTATTAGTGCTGCGTCGGGGCGGGGCAGGAGAGGAAAAGTACAAAGCTCCAACAACCTTGGAGCTCAAGTTGTCCAGACCTGGCTTAGCCCTCAGGTGTCTTGCTTTATGTGCTTGGCTGCTAGAGGTCCCTCCACCCCGCAGTAGGAGCCTGTGTGACACAATTAGAGCTATTTGCTGGCTAGAGCTCAGCACATTCATCAGCAGGTCCAGCTCTCCTGGGAGTTGAAGCAGAGACCCAGAGAAGAGCAAAGTCACAGAAGAAAGCCAGTAAAGGCGTTAATTGCTGTAGTGGGGCTGAGCTGCACTCACTGCATTTGAGTTTACACAGCTTTACCTGAGGAAGAGCTACCTTGGAGGGCTGCTCACTTTCCAATGGAAGAGCCTTGGCTACATTTTCCCTTGCAAGAAAAATAATGTGATCTATTATTGTTTTGTTTTCTCTCTGTGAGGTACTTGGCTGGAGCCCCTCTCCCTTGTCACCTCTTTGTAGCTGCTATAAAACCTCTGTATGTATTGGAAAAATGGGCTAAACTAGTAGGGAAGTGGAAAGAAGCCGTTGGTGAAAGGGCTCTCCTGGTACCTGCAGCACAGAGAGGAAAGCCTGAGTGCAACTCTACCTCTGTTCACTGTGCCTGCTGTAGTCACCCCTGGCATACATAAAGCAAACAATTTGAAGAACTGGGCCTCCAAGACCAGACTAATAACCACTGTTGGGCATGACTTCCTTAACACTAGCTATTTGACGCAGTAGAGAGGGTGAGACCATTCTTTTTTCCGACCTCTGTAGTTCATAGGGCAAACCATGTAGCGCTCTGCTGCCTGTCTGAAGCCAGTGCAGCTGCACCAGTCCATACCAGCTGGGCAGAAGCCCACTTGCTTTTCCAAGACTTTCACTGGCAACTCCTTTCTGTCTTTGCACTTGGAATCGTAACACCTTCTCCAGGAAGCAACTGTGCTTCAGTAGCACTACTCTTATCTTTGTTGAAGTCAGTGGGGCCACATTGGTTTATATCAGCTGGAAAGTTGGTTGAAACACTGGTTTCTCTGTTGTTCGTCAATACCTTTATAATTTGAATTCTTTCTGTGCATCCAGTCCATGCAAATGGTGAAGCATCTTCCTTTTCTAACCCTTGATCTTGTGATGTGCCTATGACAATAAACACTGCTTTTCTTCTCTCCTGATCCTTTATCTCCTCAATAAGCAATGGCTGTGAAGGTGTATTTTGTGTAAGTATTGCTACTGTTTAACAAAAGTGAAAGGAAATTCCTGTGCATGAGAGAGTGTCTGTACAGAACCCCTGTAAATAGCTATATTGTAGGACTTTGGCAAGTTTGGAAAGGGTCCATTTATTTATCAGGAAGTATGGGGTTGGGAATGGGGGAATAGTGATCACCAACTGCTGAAACAGACTTCAGGATGAACTGAAGAGTGCAATGCCTTGCAACGGGCTCTTGCAACATGGTGAGGGAAGCCTCCCATATATAGGAACTCCAATGCTTCTTCTCTATGCTGTTGAATACAGACTGTTCCAGTAGACTTACTTCTCCCAGGTTCTGGTCTAAAATGATCTTTAAAAATCAACTTTTTTTTTTCTAAAGTCTGTTCTGTAGGAGCTGATTCTGGGCCCATGTGCAATTTGGAGCCTTCTTGGAGAGTGAATAACTTGAGCTACTCCTCTG